TTGCTTTCTCCATAATCCAACACATGTTAACAATTTGGTCCCTAGTTCCTCTCCCCCTTCGAAATCCAGCTTGTATTTCTGGGAGTTCTCGGTCCACATACTGCTGAAGCCTACCTTGTAGGATTTTGAGCGTAACCTTGCTAGTGTGTGAAATGAGTGCAATTGTACGGTAGTTGGAACATTCTTTGGCAATACCCTTCTTTGGGATTGGGATGTAGACATCTTTCCCAGTCTTCTGGCCACTGTCGAGTTTTCCAAACTTGCTGGCATATTGAATGTAGCACCTTAACAGCGTCATCTTTTAAGATTTTAAATAGTTCCACTTGAATGTCATCACCTCTACTCATGTCAAACAGTATTCTGTAATGGAAATAGTTCAGAGATTCTGCAATGATTCAACAAGTATTAGGAAATCAAGCTTTCTCTGTCTATACAGGACTTAAATGTGGACGAATAAACAAAATAAAGCAGTATAAAATTGTAAAAGTCTTAAGTATTTGATTGTTTTAAAAACATTATTATAACTTAAAAGTGAATATTTTGAAAACTTTGACACCTGTCCGGCCTGTTTACATAACTATAATGCAAACATGTGAGCAGTTCCTGAGATTGCTAGTATTTTCTATGTCTAATTTTTAAAAAGTTCTTTTAAAAAAGGAGACTAAATCTCCCCAAAAGGTTTCCCTGTCAAAGGATACACCAATTTTTCATTTGATTTTAGAGATTGAATGCAGATAAATCTGTATTATAACCTCAAAACATACAAAATATATGTTAAAAAGGGAATGGCGAGAATATGGCATAGTTGGAACAGAATAACGATTCTTCTTCCTTATTGGTTTCATAAGCAGATTGATGTTTTCCAAGCCATTTGCCACCAAAAATTTTGGTATTTTTCCTCCAGGAAAAAGCTTGCCCAGCGTCTGCAGGAAGCTGAGGAACATGTTGAAGCTGTGAATTCCAAATGTGCTTCTCTTGAGAAGACAAAACAGAGGTTGCAGAATGAAGTGGAGGACCTGATGATTGATGTGGAAAGGTCCAATGCAGCCTGCGCAGCTCTAGACAAGAAGCAGAAGAACTTTGATAAGGTATTTTTGGATATTGTAAGAACTGATACTGAATGGGCTGCAAAATGTTGTCTACTTTTATAGAGATATGTTGAGATGTATTTGTTTTGTAGATTCTGGCAGACTGGAAGCAGAAATTTGAGGAAGCTCAATCTGAACTGGAAGCTTCCCAGAAGGAGACTCGTTCTCTCAGCACAGAACTCTTTAAGATGAAAAATGCTTATGAGGAGTCCCTGGATCACCTGGAAACTCTGAAACGAGAGAACAAGAATCTGCAGCGTATGTCTATAATTTAGATTTTTAAAATGTGGGTATATAATGCTGTGTATGCATGGTGTGATGTTCTGTAATCATGCCTTGCTTCAAAGTGGAAAACAGAATACCAAAATTGCATGAACTCCTACTCTACAGTGCTGGGAGAGACCTACATTTATATGTACTTTTAGGGATGCAGTTCAAATGAATCCTTCACACATAGATGATCTGTGGCAAGCCAAGAAAATTCTTCCAACACTACATATTCAGTTTAATTTGCTTATACTCATCCAAAGAATCACAAGTAAACTAGTTCCTTTTACTTATTTGGCAATTTTTAATGTAAATCCAACAGAGGAGATTGGTGATCTCACAGAACAAATTGCTGAAGGAGGAAAAGCTGTCCATGAACTTGAGAAAGTGAAGAAGCAAATCGAGCAAGAGAAGTCTGAACTGCAGGCATCCCTTGAAGAAGCTGAGGTATATAATCCTTTTAATTAAATTTGACAGGACAAAATCTCTTACATTGTGATGAATTAAGCATGGTGGATAAAAAACAATAATTTATATTTTAAAAATCATATTGATTTAAACCACAATGTAAATTTAAAAAAATAATAAAAAATAAATAATTAAAAAATTGATTTTTTAAATTTAAATTGTGAGTTAAATCGATCTGATTTAAATAAACAAATTGTGATTTAAATCAAATTTATTTATTTATTTCTTTATTTATTAAATTTATACCCGGCCCCTCTAGACCATGTCTACTCGGGGCGGCTTACAACATAAAATCCATCCTGAAACTACGTTTAAAGAGTCTGAACAAAAATATGATGGACACTGTGCTGTTGTGATGACAGCAGAAGAAATTTTAATAGCAAGGATGGTGTCCAAGATGTTTTTAATAATGGAAGAGGGGGCTGTAATTTATTGTAAACATCGGATAAAACTGTTTTTCAAAAGGCTTCTCTTGAGCATGAAGAAGGCAAAATCCTCCGTGTACAACTGGAGCTCAACCAGGTGAAGGCTGATATTGACAGAAGAATTGCAGAGAAAGATGAAGAAATTGATCAGATGAAGAGGAATCACTTAAGGGTGGTGGAGTCCATGCAAAGCACACTGGATGCTGAAGTTAGAAGCAGGAATGATGCTCTAAGGATAAAGAAGAAGATGGAGGGGGATCTGAATGAAATGGAAATCCAGCTGAGCCATGCCAACCGTCAAGCTGCTGAGGCCCTAAAGAATCTCAGGAACACTCAAGCACAACTAAAGGTATGCAGAGTACAGTTTCAAACAGCTGGTAGAAAACACTGATATTTTAAATATATCAAGAACTCTGTGTCTCACAATAATTTGTTTCACAGGATACACAACTGCATTTGGATGATGCTGTGAGGAGCCAAGAAGACCTGAAGGAACAGGTGGCCATGGTGGAGCGCAGAGCTAACCTGATGCAAGCTGAGATAGAGGAACTCCGGGCAGCTCTGGAACAGACAGAGAGGGGCAGGAAAGTGGCTGAACAGGAGTTACTGGACGCCAGCGAGCGTGTGCAACTCCTCCACACACAGGTTTGCCTAAAGACTGGTACTTTCACATATCCCTAGTTCAGAATGGTAGAATGTATAAGACACTGTTCCAGAGGCAAAAATTGAGCTTAGAGAATACTCCAACATCCCCAGACTCTATATTAATATTAATTTTGCTATATTACATGAAGGAAACAATGTTATGTCTGAACAACATTTGTAGATACTTTCTATGATACATCAATGAAAATTATGGTTAAACTGTTTTCCATATTGTCCCATCCAATAAAGAACATATTATGGGAGGGAGGGGTTCCCTCTTTTAAAATGTGAAGGAACCTCAGGAATAAAGTGAGATAAAGAATGACAGAGATATGCTACAGCGTTTGGCCAACATCTGAGTAGATGCCATTGTTTTATGCACTTCAAACAATTTCAGTCTTAATTGTTCAAAATAATTGCTTTGTATTTAGAGGAAAACATAAATGATTCTAAATATGTCCCCACCCCACCCCCTGCAACAGAACACAAGCTTGATTAACACCAAGAAAAAGCTGGAAGCCGACATTGCCCAAATCCAGAGTGAAATGGAAGAGAGTATTCAAGAAGCACGGAATGCAGAAGAGAAAGCCAAGAAAGCTATTACTGATGTGAGCTAGAGTTTTCATTTGAAATCTTGTCCTGTGTACACTTAGTATGGCTGGTTTTCTAAATCACCTTGGTATCTTTATTAATAGGCAGCCATGATGGCTGAGGAGCTGAAGAAAGAGCAAGACACCAGTGCCCACTTGGAAAGAATGAAAAAGAACCTAGAACAGACAGTGAAGGATCTGCAGCACCGTCTTGATGAGGCAGAACAGCTGGCAATGAGGGGTGGCAAAAAACAGCTCCAGAAACTGGAGCAAAAAGTATATATCCCTAATTCATTTCTAAACTTCCACATGTTTTGAGTGAAAAGACATACACTTCAAGGCAAATTCTCACCTTTCTTCCCTCAGGTACGTGAACTGGAAGCTGAAGTTGAGAATGAACAGAAGCGCAGTGCTGATGCTATAAAGGGTGTACGCAAATATGAGAGACGGGTGAAGGAACTGACTTATCAGGTAACGGTGATTAAATGTTTGCTTATAATAATTTGAAATTCTGCAAAAATTACTGTTCAGTTGAAGTGGAATGTGTAAATAACAGTGAAGAGACAGAATAGAAATTCTTGCTTCCATATCATTATGGTTCTGTTTATAAATATTTGTGTCTTGTCCTTTCCTAAGAATGTATGAATTTTAATTAACTGAAAGTACTTTTCTTTCCAGATAGGATTAATATAAATTAATTAACCTAAATTGGCACATTATTATTTCATTTCCCACTTGCAACCCAACCATTTCCAATGGCAGCATTTTGCAGAAACTTCAGAAGTGACCAACCTGCTCATACCCAGAGAACTCCTATCAGAACCAAGCAAAACTATCATGTATGCATAGCCTCCCAAATTGCAGTTTCCTGTAGTTTACCCCTTAACCTCCATACTTGTCAATTGTTAATGGATACCCCCAATTATGTCTTATAATTATATTTTTAATAAAACAGTAACTACGCCTTTGCAATCTTGTAGGCATCCTCCAGTCTTGAGAGACTATGGTAACATGCTCTGAATAGAGGGCTTGGAACAGCGTCTAGTATGGCTTAGAAAGCCCATATGAGAGTGACAATCCCTTCCACACTGAAGACAAATACAATCTGTCCCCTGTCCAGCTCCCTGATTTTGCTGGTTTGGGGACTACCTCTTTGCCTCGGCCTGCTGTATAAGGGTCTCTTCAAATGGGGAAAGGCTATGCTGCACCACCTGCCTCCAGGCTGAACGCTCAGATGTCAACGTTTCCCATCTGTATTGCAAAGTTTCCCACCTTTGCAATAAACCAAGGAAAATGTATTTGTCATGCATTAGCTGCCAAAAGACATGACACTTTTGTAACTCATGAGCAAATGACTCGCATCTCTTCCCCAACAGTCCCATGTTATCTGAAACTGGCATAAAATAAATAAACTGGGGCAAATATATATATACACACACGGCACCATTTTGAAATGCAGATCAACTTGGTGCCATGTGCTATGGCAGAAGTTACTGCAGATTTGTTCATGTTTTTCTGAAAAGCGTCATTTCCACCCTTTCTACTTAATTTCTATGTAATTTCTAATTTCTATTCTTATCCTAATTTTACTTAGTCTGAGGAAGATCGGAAGAATGTTCTAAGGCTTCAGGATCTGGTGGATAAACTGCAAATGAAAGTGAAAGCATACAAGAGGCAATCTGAAGAAGCTGTATGTATCACACTGAAGACAGAATAGATATTACTTTTTAAATATATTTGTCAAAATATAGTATGATGAACAAATAGAAACAGAGTAGTGAAAACAGAGAATGAAAATAAAGCTTTGAAGTAAGTGCTCCATTTATTGATGAATATTCTACTGTCAATAGTTTTGTGAGATGTAAAAACTGAATGGACAGTTACAGGATAGATTTGCAAAACAAAAACAAGATTTCCTCAAAATATATCATTCCAGTTTCTATTTGTATACATTTTCTGCAGATGTTTGTAGATGCTAATAATTATGCTCCATCAAGTCAGTTTTCTTATGTGACACTTTTAAGAACTTTGCAGATAGAGAGCCCTCAAAAGTGATTTAGCACTCCTTTCTGGAGGCATCCTAGAACTATGCAGCTTACCCAAGGTCACATAAACTGGCTTTTCTCCCTGAAGGTGAAGTGGGGAATTGAACTCCCAACAAAGAACCATTTGAAGAGCTGGGAAGAGAAATCCAGCCAACTGCAACCCGGGACGGAATTTGAAAACATACAGCAAATTCCATTTGCAGTTTGTATTTTAACTCAGCTTCAGAAGCATGCACAACATTTTGGTGCATAGCCTGAGGAAGATGAATTAATGTTGCCAGCTAGCTGTTTGTTGAGTTTTTTTAATGGTCCAATAAAAGTATCACCTTTTCTTCCATTTAAATTTATGGGCATACATTTTGTTTTGTATTAAATAATTTTTAAAAATCTGATCTGTAAGCTTATGACTAAGTCTTCTACAGATTTAATTCAATAACATCTTACAAGATACTTTTATATATTACTAACTAGCCTGTTCCTTGACGGGTTTACAAACAAAATCCAGTTCTATACAGAAGTTCTTTCAAGTAATATCGAGAAGAATTTTGCATTGAATTTTCCTAATCTGTGAAAGGCAATATTCAATTATATATTTTATCCTTAAACTGAATAATGGGAAGTCAAGACCATTACGCTAACCTAGTGACCTGTACTCTTCAGCTTTTTATGCTCCAGAAAAACCCAGAACTTTTCACAGTTTGATTTTCACAAATCTGTGTTTGTTTTCAGGAGGAACAATCAAATCTCAACCTGTCCAAGTTCCGCAAGATTCAGCATGAGCTGGAAGAGGCTGAAGAGAGGGCTGATATTGCAGAGTCACAGGTCAACAAATTGCGTGTGAAGACTCGAGATGCTGGAAAGCAAGTCAAAAGTGAAGAATAAGTTTGTCTACATGCTTCATCATGACTAAATAGATACACAAAATGTGTATACCTTATTTGTAATTATTGTTTATTCTATCCTTAGTGCCTAGGAAATAAAGATTGTAGAAATCTTTGCATACTTAAAATAATGTGCAACCTTTGTGTAAGCCCACTCTAACCAAACTGGTGAACGATAATGTTGTAATCCTATACAAACTTAATTAGGAGTTCATTTCAGTAAAAACAATTGACTTCCAATATAGCTTATTTTTGTAAGAATCTACCAAAATCTGTAAATCCCTTTCCGTTGAAATGAAAGAACTCAAGATTTTAAAATGTGAATTTGAGAAAATCTAAAATGACATCCAAGGTTTTGAGTGCTAAGCTTTTAAACATCTGGGTTTAAGATGTCTAAATCTACCACATTAGTGCTGAATTACAGCTGCCACTTCTGCTTCCCATTTTAAAGACCTATTGGGAAGGCTGTAATAGATGGAGAGGAACTGCATCCGAGTTTGTTTTCCAACAGTTTACCAAAATTGAAACATTTTTTCCATATTTGTGAAGAACACAAGTATTTGGAATTCTGAATGCAGAAAAAAAGTGAAACTGGTAGGTATACCCATCCCTACAGTAGTCATTTATGAATGTAGTAGCTGCCATTTCTATATGCTTAATTTTTGTGTGACTCATATACAGAGTTATTGTATCATCAAAATTAAAAACACCACCTAATGGTATCAGATCAAAGGCCATTTAAGTCAACATCCAGTTTCATCCATTGTCCAATCAAATGCTTCTGAAAAGCCAGAAGCAAAGTGTCCAGTTTACACTACAACTGAACTATGTGTCCCTTTGAAGTGGGATTCAAAGACATACCAAGAGGCTTATAGTCATTTATAGTCATGTAGATATGCCATCTTTTAAGCTAAAAGCTCCTAAGTGGTTTATAAAACCACCAAAAAAGAACATTCTCTAGTCCAGTGTGATGGAGGGCTAACAAGCCAAACCTCTCTACGCCCTTTAGCCCTCATCATTTATATACATTAACAAATGGGATCCCACAACAAATTGCTGCTGTACAACTGAAGAGGTTATAATCAAAGACAGGACTTCCTGTTCTAATGTGGATCTTCAAGCGCAAAAATTAAATTAAACAGTTTTTAAAGATTTTAAAATATACACAGTGTGTCTGCAAAACTGGAACATGAGACATTCAAATGCAGCTCAGTATTTGTTTAAACCTCCAGGCAGAGTGAAGTAGCAATTTACCTTGAACTTTGCTGTAACCAAGAGATATGGAAACATTTTAACTTGGAAACTAATTCAGTCTCAGCCCATCTCTGATATATAATAATGGTCTGCATTACAGAGCCACTGTAAGCTAGTATATCTTAGAAAAACCCACAACCTGCAAAAAGACGTCTAAATACAGGGTTCTTTTATGTTCTCTCAATCCAACCTGCAAGATGGGGATATACACCTAAGACCATCGGTTTGTGTAAACTACCCAGAGCCTCACTGGTAGTATTCATTGTCCTTTCCCTGGGTAGGGTATAATTAGCCTTTCCCTGGAATAGATCCCTCCAACCTACAGTACAGTAACAATGCATTATATTTGCTATTAAATTAGTAGGGCAATGGTTGAAAAATTTCCATGTTTTTTAAATGTTTCACACTAAACCAAAACAAAGCTTGAAAGAACAGACTAGCAATGGACACATTGGTGCCCAGTCCTGACTAGAGTAAAATCTTGGATTTTTATTGATATTTTGGATGGTTCTCACATGCAGCTTCTGTAGGAAAATCGGTCTAAAACAGTGACACAGAGAGAGAGAGACGCTAGGTGAACAAGGCTTGCCTTAATTACAGTACAAGAAAATAGCGATTAGATTGCTGGGTTTGTGAACCCAAGAACAACAACATTTTAGAGTTCTAGTACTTGATGGGATCAAGACCCGCACCCAATAGGATTAAGACATGGTGCTGCCTGACTTTCTTTAGTTAAGACACCCAAGTATTAAATGCACATACAATTTTGCCATTAAGAAATACTTCTATGCATAATAACAGACAATGGTGGTTGGTACTCATGATAGTTTACAGAATGGATGGCATCACAGCCACATGATTTGTGGAGACATGAGTAACAGAAAAAGGCAAGTTCAAAAGCAGATATTTATCCTCACCCCACTCACCCCCACAAATGCTGCCTTGCCCCACTCAATTTGTTCATTTCATGACTCAGCTGAGACAAAGAAAAACACATTTTGCCTCTTGTTGAAAATGTTTTCACCTGCTGCTATGTCCATCTCCTTGTCTCCCTCCCTATACATTCATACAGAGTAGAATGAGACTGAAAGTTTAGCAGAAGAAGAACAAAAGAAGGACTGGGACCCTGAGGTGGGCCACTTCCCCACTTGCTTTAACAGGCTAGCTTCCATGATAAGCGAACACCAATTATTTTTCACAGTCCAGATTGTAATAGTGGCATTAGCATGAAATAGGAATCAGAAATGCTACAGATGGTAAATGCAGAACAGACATCGAGACCTGTGTAAAGTATACATGTTATGTGCCATCAAGTCGTATCTGATTTGTAGCTTCCCTAACAGGGATATCAAAGCAAGTGAAATATTTTAGGAGTGTTTTTAACAGTACCATCCACCCCAGTGATTTTCCATGGCCAAGTGCGGATTTGAACCCAGGTATCCTGAGTCCCAGTATGCCATTCTGTTCACTACACCACAGTGAGTACCTCTTGTACACATACACAAAATATATCATTAGAGAACTAAACAATAAGAAGATAGTTTAACATTTTCTGCTATAATATTTAACAGATTCAAAATATTATAGCAGAAAATTTGCAGATTGAAAGGCAATCAGTGAATGAATGGCAGAATTTAAAAAACAAATACACAAATAACAAAAACAAAGATGACTCAAAGAAATAGAACAATTCAGTCAAAGACCACACAATATGCCTTCTATTTTAAAGAAATTGTGGATTCAGAAATACTCCCAAAGTAGGATAGCACCCACACATCAACAACAAGAACGGTATATATAATCAAAAAGGAGAATAAAAGAAGACAAAGATTTACATAAAACTGTATGTGTTCATACATATGTATATAAGCAAAATTAGAAATGATTTTTATCATTTTAAGAGAATTACAATGCATCTCCCTCAAATAAGGGTAATCAGGTGACCTGTATGTTGAATTTGTCTCTTGTCCAAGTGCTGTTAACTGTAGATGGGCAACTTCAAAGAATCTGATCACAGTTCTTATGGATTTTCTTCTTTGAAGGGGCAACCCTTCAAGTGGAGGACACCTTCAGGAGAAACACTGCCATCCAAAAGCCCTTCAAACATACTGTAGGTCTGTTCTTTGTAAAAGAGGCCATAAGGCAAGCCCCCTCAATATTTTGATATGCCTTACTTTCAAACATAACCTCTCAGATACTCTAATACCTCCCCACAGGCAAGAATCACATGACACCCAGTGTGTGTGTGTGCGCGCGCACACATGACCTACCTAGCCTGACTCTAACTGGACACTGATTTGGACTATCTTGTAATGGGTATTTGGAGGAAAAAATGGAAACAATCACTCGGCTTCCAGCAGATACCTTCATTTTGTTTGGCTTCCGCTGTAGCCTTTAACTAAAGAAAGCCAAGAAGTTTTCATCTCTGTCCCGTTAAACAACCTTTTAAAAACTTTCTTAAAGCAATCCTAAGACGTTGATGATGGGAAATTTACAACGGAACCACCTTGTGAGCTTTTGCTGGCTGTGTCAGAAGCGTATAAGTCCCACACACCCTTCCAATTTTGCTGTATTGACATTTTGGTTCCTGTTAACATTATGGGAAGATGAACACCAGCACCTCCAGCATGGGCATATTTTTTGTGTGGCCAGAAGACATCTAAAGCCCTCCCTCTTCATTTGTATCAAGTACAGTAAACTTTTTTTACTTTCATTGATGCAAGCTGCCTCGGGTCCTTTTTAAGGAGAAAGGAGGGGTAAAAATATTTTAAATAAACAAATAAACTTCTACAGGATCCAGTCGTCCTCAGGGCACATACAGATGAGACAAGCTGAAGTGATCTGGATCACATTTAAATGGTTGTTATCTTTAGTGAAATCTATTTTATCTCTTGAGTGATACTTCCATTCACATTGATCAATTTTTTTTTCCTGTGAGAAGGGTCCAGCCAGTTTGGATCACTCCAATTTGTCCCCTTTTTAATTAATGACATTTTCCTTCCCACCCCGTTCCTTGCTTTTTTCTGCAGCAGTCATGCAGTGGCCATAGTGACTTTCTTTAGTTTTGTTTTGGTCTTTTTATTTTTATTAAATAAAGTAAGTGATATAGCAAAACAGCAATGAAGCTACCTAGTATGGTACACATAATACTGCTAATGTGTCATGTTGATCTAGAATAGTGTTAAATCCATAGGAAAATATATGTAAAAAAACCTAAAAGCCTAGACTAGATGAATAAAGAGGAGAGGGCATTTTCTATTATCTCTTGCAAAGCCACAACCCACTAAATATGTCACAAGATTATTATCTCAGATAACGCCACCCACAGCTCTATTTGGCTATGAACTAACCATCCACATGGGCTACAGAACAAGATACTGTAATTAGAATCGCTCCAAATCATCCCCCAAAAACTGTTGCCTAACACTACATCAAAGAGGAGGAGGACAGCTCTAAAAAGGGAGGGGATGGATCACTCTAAGTCAAATGATGTGTGGCCACCACAATCTGATTTGAAACAAGCAGTGCCAAAAGCGATAAAAATAGCAAGTTATATGCCCATTTGGATGTGCCCTCAATCACCATCCATAGGAGTTTAAGGTTGTACCCCAGTAGTTCCTAGACGTTTTGGACTTGCAGCCCCCCCTGAGGGGCAGGAGGGGCAGAGTGGCGAGGGATGCGGGGCAGCTATAGAGGCAAAACTCTTCTCTTCAACCCAGTTTTACCTTAATTGCTGGCTGTCTAAGTTAGGTTCTTGAATGGACTCCTGCGACTTACGGCTTTAAATGTGTTTTGATGTTGTTTCTGTTCACCATCTTTTACTGTCATATTTGTTTGATCATACTGTACTTAGTATTTGTATACGTACTGGTTTTTGCTTTAAATATTGTAAGCGGTTTTGGGTCATTCTTAAGAAGAAAGGCAAGGTAAAAATGTTTTAAATAAGTAAATAAGATCTTTGATTTAAATGCTATGAAGATCCATACAGTCCTAAGTTTTTTTTTTTTAAAGAGTACTTTTGTTGTAGTTAAACCCCATATCCTGGTTAACACAAATAACAGAACTGCATCTGCATGCTCTTGATCTACCACCCTGTGAGGGGGTTCGTCCTTGATAGGAGTCTAGGAGCCCAATTCCAAACTAATGATTGGAGATAGTTCTTGCTTCAACGGAAAACAACAACATTTATTGGACACAATAGGTGTCCTCTCAAGTTGATTCCAATAGTCCTGTCAGCCCATAGGCTCTTTCTCTCTCTCTGTCCTGTGAGCCGCAGAGTGGTTATTCTGGGTACTGTAATAGGTAACAGTACTTGTAACAATAAACAGCAACAGAATAAATAATTACTTTCCACATGTAAATAAATATAAGCTCAAATAAAAAGTTAAATTCTGTATCCCAGTATTGCAGTTCCTTTCCATGCTTCTAATCTGAGGAGCCCCTTTTAGCAACACAGACACTTTAAGTCACCCTCCATTTCAGTCACACTAACAAATATATAAAACATAAATATCTAGGAGCAGTTCCTCAGAAATACGTGCCTCTTGCAGATATTAAAGTTTGATGGCCTCACTCCTGTGTTGCATTTTCCACCTTCAGAGTTCTTCTTGGGATCCTATGAGAAGCTGCTTCCTTCTTTTCAGCTGTACAGTATCTCTTTTGGTATCTTCCCTCCAGCCTCCAGCCCTTAATTCCTTCCTCTGTTGCCCCAGGCAACCTGCCCCCTTACCCTGCCATCTACTAAATCTGACTAGGCCTTTCAGGTCTTGCTACAGTACTGTGGAAGAAGGTGGGGGTGGGGAAGAGCAGTAATTCAAAGTACTCATATTTAACAATTAAAGACTATTTAAGAGGAATATTGAACCTGACGGAATATTGTGGCATATTGTTAAGTTGTACTTTTTTTAGATTGTAGGATGAATGTGGGTTTAAACACACATCCCACCTTAATTCATTGAAGGAGGCCTCAACATACAGAAACCAGTACTGTAATAAAAAGGCAGGGGGTTATAAGTAACAACTGTAGATTAATTAAGAAGGAGTCAGAACTTGTGAATATGATGATGTTTCACCACACAGATCAAATTCTTAAGCGGCAGAAAGGGCAAAGTGCCCTAGCAAAGGGGGAAAAATATGAACTAGCTTACCTTTTGCCAAGATTGTTTAAGGCCGAAGTCTTCAGAAGCCGAGTACTGTACTATATTTGGACAGTCTTCCTTGGAAACAGCCCAAACTTCAGCCACAGAGATGAAGGCAAAGCATTATTCTCTCACGAGAGATGTCCCCTCTGGTTAACAGCTCCACAGGCAACCTGACTCAGCCCGTTTCTGACAGGAACGTGCTTCCACTTCACACACTAGGCCATGGGGTTCTTTCTTATCTTCACAGAGGCCTACTTGGTACACTTCCTACAATAGCTAGGTGTGCATTGTCAATATTAAAAAGGAAGCACATTAATAACAAACAGAGCAAGAAGAAGCCAATTAACATAAAATTTGCATATTTTGACCAAGTGACCCGGCAGCTTAACTTCCTGTCAAGGTATTCACAGCTGAAGCAACTTCAGCTTTAAACCAGATTTGAACTGGGCAGTCCTTTCATTCCAGGGCACCTTCAAATAGACCAGCGGTCCCCAACTGTTTTGGGGCTGCGGACTGGCTGGGGGGGAGTGAGCTCCATGCGTGTGGGAGCGTGACACGCCCACCACATGTGTGAGCGGGGGGGTGGATATCCGTATCCGCAGACCAGTTCCAGCAAGCCCACAGACCGGCACTGGGCCGCGAACTGGGGTTGACGACCCCTGAAATACGGTAGACGATGCTCCTCTGTTAAGCAGGACACAAAGGCAACCTCACACCTGAACTACGTAGCCAGAAATGGTTTTCAAGACACTTCCACATACATGCACTCTTATTTAAATCTCCACAGGACGCCTTTAAGAAGCACAGAAAATCCAGAGTTTAATTTTTTTCCTGAAAACCAAGCCAGGTGGTAAATGAGAAAAGCACTAAATAAATATTTATAAATAAATATTTTATTATAATTAAAATTTACATTTTATTAAAATAAGGCATCCTTTTTCATTTCACCATTTCTGCCTTATGTGGATATATAACACAAACAAGGAGAAAGGGTCACAGAAAACTAAACAGCAAAAATAACTGAAACCAACAACTCATTAATAAACCGTTCCTATCTTCCACATTTCATAGTCCTACTGTCTCATCCCATGGATGATTTCTTCAGACTGAAACATCTTAGCAACCAAAGTTTCTACAGTTATTTCTAGATCACATCCTTTCTTTCTTTTCTCATATAGTTTTAAAGTAAATGTTTAGATGGTGTTGGGGTGGTATACCTTCTTTTTATTTCAGTTCATGAATGAAATGTTATCAGGAGAAAGGCAGCCCAAAAATAAGACAAATAAATAAATAATACATGGGTACCAATTTTCTACAAAGTAATTCTGTTCCTCTTCCTTTTGCAACTTCAAATCTATTTATTTGTTTCTCTAATAATGTCACTGTCCAGATTTTGCTAATATATGTATTCATATTAATATTTGTCATTTGTCTGTCTGCTTATCTATATGCCACCTTTCTCTCCATAGGGGAACCAAGGCAGCTCACAACAGCTGAACATATTCAAAAATTAACAGTTTTAAAATACCATATTAAAAACAATTAAATATATATCAAGATATCAAGATTAAAAATAAGATTTAAGCAATTTTAAAACATTTTAAAATCTCTAAGTTTGGTCTATCTTTCCAATCTTGTCATATATTTCCAAAGATCATTCCAACAAAAGAGGTTAAGGATATGATGTGTTCACTAAATTGACATCCATACACTGTAAGTATATTTGTTATTTGCCATTCTCTTTCTCAGAAAATCCTGTGATCTGCATCTCTGTTCTTCGATCTTTCTGTTTTGCTTCAAAAGCTATTACAGTAAATGACTTCCAGATGTTCCAGCCAGAGGTTTATCCTGATGGGAGACATTCTTTGGCATTCATCCATTTGGCAAGGTGTGTTGTATTTATTCATTCTCCATAGGTTTAGCCTAATAGCCTGTTCTGATTTAATATTTAGAGTTTGAGATGTGTACAGAAAACTTTTCCTCACTTTTAGCCATTGTCTGTGTTGTTGGCGTCCATGAAGTGGATGGGTTTAGTGCTGTGTTACTTTATTCACTAATTGGACGTTATATGAATTAAATAAATAAATAACTGTTGTATATGTGTTGTGTTTTTAACACAAACAGCTTAAACAATTCTAACTTAACAGTGATACATTTTTAAATACGTAAAAATATCCCAAAATGATTGTGCTATTGTACATTTCATTTATTTCAATTCCTACACTTTCTATTCAAATAAACAGATCTACAGGCTGTTGTAGTTATGTACCATCGAGTCACCTCTGACTAATGGTGACTGAATAAGAGATCTCCAAAATGTCCTGTCCTCAACAGCGCTACTCAGCTCTTGTAAGCTCAAGCCTGCAGCTTCATTTAGGGAGTCAATCTACAGTATCTTGTATTTGTTCTACATCTTTTCCTGCTGCCTTCAGCCTGTCGCAGCATTATTGTCTTTTCCAGAGAACCCTTTCTTTTCATGATGAGCCTGAAGTATGACAGACTCGGTTTCATCATTTTTGCCTCTAGAGATAGTTTAGGCTTGATTTATTTTAGCACCTGCTTGTTTGTCTTTCTTGCGGTCCAGGGTATCCACAAAGCTCTTCTCCAGTACCATACTGTATTTCATATTTCACCACTGTCATCTATCTTTACTGTCCAGCTTTCCTATCTCTACCTTATTTCGTTCATTATTTGCTAGCATCTCTTGACGTACTTCTGGAAGGGTAATGCCAGCCAAATCTCTGCATAAAAGACTTTCATTAAACATCAGCTTCCAGGATAATCTGGGGAAAGCCATGACAGTTACATTGGGATACAGAATCAATATTAAACAAACCAACAGTAAAATAGATAGTGTTGGTGTACATTTCATCATTTTTGTGAAAATGAAAGAAGAAAATACCTAAGCAGGACTGGAGCTGTTAAAGAGAAAAAAATCATGACTACAGAACAACTAAACAACTTCAATGTTGAAAATGATAAAAACTGTAGTTTTGTTCAATCATCAATGCAAATGGAAAATGCAAAGTATAAATATATCCCTGGAGACAAAGACAAAGATCATCCATACTCTTGCATTTCTGATCACCATGGAAGTACGGAGGCACTCACAATTTTAAAATCTCAATATTATATTTGGATTTTTTTTATAACCAAAAATTAACTAAACAAGATATTCACCCATCAGCACTGATCAACTTTAATACATGAAGTTATAGGTAGAGCAGAGAGAATCATTTTGTATTTGCCTAGAACACTGTCAGAAGAAAATACCAGCAATCCTAAATCAGCATTACAAAAATACTGGTTGAATACAAGAGGATTCAAACTATGTGTGTTTTCCTCAGCTGTTGTTTCCACAAAATTCCTGAGTAACTTACTGTATTACAGTAATATTATTGTCTATCAGATATTCGCAGCTGATTAGAACCATCTACTGTACTGACAGCAAGAAGAGCAGAAATCATTGACAGAGCAATATTGTCACTATACCGAGCAATATAGAGGGATGTTACTACACCATGGCATGCAGCAGTGCCCTGACCAGTGAAAAGCTGAAGGGGAAAAGGATTAAGGGAAAACAATGGTAATAGCAAGACCTGTTTAAGCTCTTCAGCAGTGGTACCAACCTTGGGTCCCCAGAAGTTCTTGGATTAAAACTCCCTGAAGCCTTCACCACTAGCTGTGCTGGCCTGGAATTTTGGAGTTGTACTCCAAGAACATCTGGGACACAAGGCTAGGAACCACTGCTCTACATTATAGTTCTTTCAATCAAGATGGGCCTGCCTGTTTTATCATGCACTTTATCAAGCAATGTGCATAGGCAATGGATTCTAGAATTTCTTCTGTTATTCTTAATTTTGACATGGAAGCTTTATTACTTAGGAATATGAACCATTCAATGTAAACTAAAAATGTATTTGAAATCTTATTATTACATCTCATATTGCCTTCAAGCTATATAATAATGTACAAATCATTCTCCTCGTATACATTGCCTCTTTAGTCACAACATGATTTGCCTGGCCCCCACACTGGGAGCTTTCAAGAGTAAATTGAAGACCTGGTTCTTTCAGCAGGCCTTCCCACCAGCTACTGCTTAGCTCCTACTCTCATTTTTCCCATCTTGGGTTTTCATATATTATTTTTTGTTTTATTTTTATTATTTGTTTTAATCCTATCTGTGTTTGATTGTAAACCGCCCAGAGTGGATTTTTCCAGATGGGTGGCATAAAAATCAAATCAAATAAATAAATAAATAAATAAATAAAAGAAAGATTGAAGTGAAAATGTGTAACTGAACAGCAATATAATTATTTAAAGTGCATGGATAAAATGTAAGAGGAGAAATAAAAAGCAATATTGTACACATTTTGAATTATAAAAGTAGTAGGTTAGAAATTGCTACTCTTTAAAACTGAGCTAAAGGGTGTTGTTCAATTCAGCTGCAAACAGAGACTTTCAAATTGACCAAGTATGGATTATTTCATGCTAATACCACTTCAGCTTACAAATATGCGATGCCATAAAAGATTTCAGAAGCAGGGAGATTTGACATCAAGCTGTATCGCAGAACTATCTACCATAACATATATTCAAGTATTAGGTAATGACCTGGGTACTATAGAAGTCTACAAACTCTCCAGATATTCAGACTTGGAAACTATGTAGGTTCAGTTTGCTCACGATGCATTAATCAGCACATAACAAAACCTGGCAACTTAATTGACAGTCAAACCTTCTGCATAACTGTCATGCCTGTCATATTTAAATGTACTGTTTATATACAGTAGTTTCGTAAGTGTTCTGATAGTAAGTTTCGTAATGGTTCTGATAGGCTGAGAGAGAAACTTGAGAAGGAGGGGTGTGTTAGACAAATCAGTCTTGAGTTTGATAGAGAAGAGCAGTAAAGAGATTGGAGAGGGGTGGGTTTGGAATCTGGGGTTTGAGAGAAAAGTCTGGGAGAGAGATTGAGAGTGGATATGTAATAAAGTAATAAGCAGAATAAGGAACATTCTTTCTAACCCTGTTATTTTAATAAAACCTTGTTTGTTCTATTCAAGCGCAATACCTTGTTTATTCTATTCAAGCTCAATGAGGGCTGGCTATGTGGAATGTGTTATAAGGGTCTGAGCAAAGGATTAAATAGACACACACCTGGAAGAAGAAAGGAAATAAATCAAGATTATTAAAGAAAACATATTTATTCCTGCAGTGATTTAAAGTAACTGTTACCTCAATAGTCAAGTGACAAGACAAAGTATGAAATTGGTATCAGATGGATGGGGTGTGACAATAACCTGTTGCCCCAAGAATAGAAATTGTATCTAAAAACTTGAACATTCAGCAGATCTCTACAAAATCAAAATTAAAATGAATTACAAGTTCATTGATAATGAACAGCTTCATGTGTTTGCAGAACTGCTCTTTTGCACCATTAATGGAAGATCCACTTTTCCACAAAGGATATTCTGTATTTAAAAATCCTTGACAAAAAATCTTCAAAAATGGATTACACTCCCCTCAGACAATTTTATTTTTGAGCCATTTCATAACTGGTGTTTGTTTTGAACAATATAATTCAGACAGATAGGACAAACAAACAATTTTTAAAAATTGTTGTTTTGGTCAAGCTATCTTTGACTTTGCCTGTGCTGTATTTACCACACTGGCTGAAAGCTAGTAATGAGCCATTACTAGAATAGGCCCATTCAATCAGTGAGCACTTAGTGAGTCAGCCCTTTTGTAAATTCCACTGATTTAATGGACCTACTCTAGTTGCAACTTAGTAACGAATTTCAGCAACTATCTCTTCACAGCCAGATTCAAAACCAGTACATTAAATCCTGACAACTCTTGAAAGTGGCCTGATTATCCTCCAACCTATCCTTACCAATTATCCCCCTTAGTCTTCTGGAGGCTATTTTTATTCCCTGAATGTCTATTATTGCTATGCAACAATAGTTTCGATCAAGTCTTACAGTAGCATTCAATGAACATCATTTTATATATTCATATCTTCATCAGAAACTATGCATATTTTGATTTAGAGGGAAATAATTTATGTGTCCCTCCCTTAATTTATAATATGATTACTAGCCTGGAATAGGAACACACCTTTTGATGCAAAAATTTAGTATTAGAAAGTTTGGAAAGCATTCTTTTCATAAGACATCAAGAGAGCTTTTATCTTTTGTAGTTCTGAAGGAATGAGTAGGAGGAAACTTTAAGAAGTGCTTTAACCTTCAGGAAATGAAGTGACAGCTGACAGTAATAGAGAGGTGGTAACACTTGTCTGTGAAAGAATGTGACTGCTAACTCCACTGATGTTGACATTGCACATTTACTTTGAAGTTTCAGATGTAGAATTCAAATCTCTGAAATACCTGGTAGTCTATCCACTCTGATTTCTTGTTGCTTCAACAGAAACCAGTAACATGCTTAAAACATCAACTGACTTACCTTGCTTTTATATATGTATAAGATAACTGCCTTAAGTAAGAAGTGGACTTGTCCACAAAAGCTCACATTAAAATATAGCAATTAGATTTTAAGGTGACACAATGTTTTTGTCTTATTTTTTTTAGTTGTATTTCATTTTTGCCTGATATACCTTAAGTAGGAAACTTTCCTCCTGTTCATACATGTAAATTGAACTTCATAATGTCACTTATTAATTCACTGTACTTTTAAAAAAAAATTGATAGATGTTGCTAACTTAAGGAAGAGTTAATTCCCTTTCCATCTATTAAAATTCTTTACTTGTTTGAGGTATATTCTATAGCAATGCACCTTTTCCTCATTATTCGAGACCTGACCGGAAACCTGCTGAAGCTTTCTACTCCAAGAGTGTATACTGAAGGTGGTGATGTGACTTGTATGGCAGAGGAGGAAGAAATGTCTCTGGCCAGCTGACTCCTTGTAACCTTCAGCTAATCATGTCTCTTCTTAATTAACAGAAAGAGCATGTGAGATCAGGCCTTCAACGCATTTGCAACTAAAATATAAATTATTAATTCACCAAAAATAGAGGCTTAGAATGCTGCGTTGGCAGATGACTGTGTATAAAGTCTCCAAGGGCCAAGGCTCCTTGTTTCTTCACTAGCTCAGTATCTCAAGGTAAGTTACAACCCCTCACTGTGTTCTTAGGAGACCTGAACGTCTGCCACTGCTTAAGGTTGTACATGTCCTATGCCACGTCCTATTTAAACATTCTCCAAATATATTTTACATGCATTTACATTGATTAAGTTAATACTTAGTGTCACTGGTATTTATACGATCTACGAAATCTAGCTCCATATCAATGTTAGGATGTTTTCCTTCAATGTCTGTTCATAGGTTTACAATCTCTTAGTGTTTGCCAGAACTACTAAACTGAATTTAAAAAAAAAAAAAAAGCTGTATATAACTATGCCTAACTTATAATATGTTTGATTAATTTATTAAAGGCTTCTTCACAATGGGTAATGAGGATGAATGCAGTTTCTTGGAACTTGCCTGTACTGGGGATGATCTGCGCGGGCCTTCTGTAACTTAGAGCTGGCTCACAGATAGAAATCATGAATAGCTGAAGTGGAAATTTCTCTAAAATGAAATGTCTCCATTATGCTGTAGTATTATTGCAGACTAGACATTATTCAGCTCGGTTAGAATATGACTCAGAGAAAAATATATTCCAAGATAATGCTGTCTTTCTGACAAACCTTTTTCCTTCCTATTCACATGTAAATGAAAGTTCTACTTTGTTGGTGACTGAAGGTAAGAACAATTTTACTTTAATTTCAGCATGCTTCTGTTGTACAGCTAGATGCTAATTATCGTTATACTGTACAAAACTGTATCGTACTGTATATAGTTAGATGCTAATTATCGTTATATTGTGCAAAACGTAGTGTGTATCATCTAGACTCTTCACTTCCAAGACTTCACCCCAAAGGGCAAGTATGAACAAGAGCAGAGTTAACAAAGCCTGTTCAGTAGCTTTACAAGGAAAAAGGTCCCATGTTCAGTCCTTGGATATCTATATTAAATGGGAATCTCATAAATCAAGGAAAGGCAGAGCTGCTGCCGGAATAGGTAATACTAATCGTAACCAGACCAATGGTTTGGCTCAGTTTAACATACATTCACATATGTGTTTTAGCCCTTATATTCCCTTCTAAAATTCAATTTTAAATCACTCTAGACTTCATGACAAATGTCCTGTGGGGCACTTAACAATTTTTAGATTTTGTAATTTTTATTTTTTAATAATCTCATAAATCAAGGAAAGGCAGAGCTGCTGCTGGGGTGCTTAACACTAAGTAAAATTTCTAAATAAGGTGTTTCCACTCTGAAACTCCTGAAATGAAAGACCACCTTCAGAATAACACATGGGTTACATGAGCATGATTTCATCTTGTCTGACAGAAGGGGTAGTCTATGGAGACTATTTATATAAGAATTATCAACTGAAAACTTTTTCCTTTTCAGTCCGCATCAAGAACTATAAAGTGACATGTACCGTGCCATGTTTGCCTTCTAGTCTTCATTCTATAATCTGTTTCAGGGTGGTCAGATTTTAGGTATATCGGAACAACACTATGGATTCTAATCCACTTTCTACAACCCATCATCAGCGTAACCCAAACCAGTGTGAAAGTTATGTATAAATAAAAAAGCTGAAAGATGTTTACACGTTTTTTTTATCTTGGCAGTCTCCGTGTTATTGAAGGAAATTATACCTAATGCTTTTCTAACTCCTCCAGGCAATCGTAATTATGGCTTCAGATGCTGAAATGTCTGTATTTGGAGTGGCAGCTCCCTTTCTCCGGAAACCGGAGAAGGAGAGAATTGAGGCCCAGAATCGTCCATTTGATGCTAAAGCGGCCTGCTTTGTGGTGGATGACAAAGAAATGTATATTAAAGGCATGATCCAGACTAGAGAGCCTGGCAAAATCACAGTCAAAGTTTCAGATGACCGTGTAAGTAGGAATCTAATTTGTCTACTTCACTGAATTATTCCTGTTCACTTCCTTAATTCACCAATGTAGTTCCAGCTGCAGTGATTTTCAGAAATTAAAGATTCCCCCACCCCATTCCTAAACTCCCAACCGTTTTGCCATGATGAAAAAAATCCCATAGGAACCTGAGGAGCAAGAGGGAATCAGAAATGTTTTATTTTTAAAAAAGTAATCACTGCAGCTGACAATATCATCAGCCTTACATGATGTGCTGCATAAACAGGATTTCAGCCATATGTACTTTTTTGATAACTTCAAAGGAAGAAGAGACCCTTGTTTAACTATCTTATAACAATTCACTTTTATATTTAAATATGCAAGGTTGGAAGTCTGAGCATACATGGGTGGATATGTAAACATGAAGGATCCTTCCCTTAACAGAAAGATTCAGAAAAGGTTCCTGATGGAGGAAGGTGCTGATGGAAATGATTCCTCTTTCTCCCTACAGTCCCTTTGATCCAGCCGCTGGAGGGTCCTTGGACCTCGAACAGCGAAGCTGGCCTTGCCTTCCATCTGGGATATCGCGAGATGGGTCTCACGTGATACCTAGGTTGGAGAGGAAAGCCAGGGTGTTTAAAGGGCTTTCCCCTCTAAAATGCCCTCTTCTTTTCGGGCACCCACCCGCCCTCCCTATTTCTAGTGTGAGTTATTCTGGTTGCCATTACGGGGCCGGATAGAAATTTTGGCCTTCATCCTGATTGGCCAGTGGGTGGGGGAGTTTTTGCCTATCCCACACTAGAAGAGGGTTGTGGCAAGTCAGTGGAATTAGCTTCAGTCACACTGGCGGGTAGTGCGGAAAAAACAGGCATTTACGGTGGGGCCCGCTGTAATTTCAAGTAAGCCAACAGTACATCCTACCGCCTGGCACTGCGGATTGTGCAATGACAGTGCCTGTGGCAGGAAGGTGTGCTGGGCCACTTCCAGTCTAACAACCCTCAAATAAAGGGGGATCAAGGTCTGGGGGTGTTTGTTAGCGGCCGCCCAGGTTCCTGCTATCCTTAAGGTCACTGGAGCCTGGGGCCGGGGACTCGCCCTTTCATTGATCTAGGAGTATTTAGATACTCACGTCATTTAACTGTTTCCGCACTACGGCAGGCCCCTCCTTCTGAATGAAATATTTGGAATATGAATGTGTATAAATAAAGTGTGGCCCGTATTTTAACCCATATCAGTGTCTCGCGTTTTATTCCGGGGTTGGGAGGGCAATCCCTGCATGCTCCCTCCCACACTGAGCTGCTTTTCATGGAGAATAGAAGACTATGGGAGGACTTTTTTAGAATTACCTCTCTGCTTCCTCTAGTAGGAACTCTGGATCCAGGAACTCTGGATCCAAGCCATTGGAAACTGCGCATGTATTTAACAGAAAACTCTGTTGGATTTTTATTAAGTTTTGAACACCCATCCTCCTCCTGTTTTGTCATAAATGTTTTATGGTTTTCATATTCCATTTTTCCTTACATGTAAGACTTCATAGGGACTTGTGATTACTGGAGTTTTGCTTATGATGGAAGAATAAGGCAAAGTGATGAGTTTCACTAATTCTTCCTTTCTTCTCCTGACCTACATCCTTCCTATATGTCTCCAATGGATTTCACATCCTTTGACACACAAGTGATATCCATCCGTTAGTGATGGCGCAAATGTAAATGTAACCCATTATGTTTCTATACTTCTTATCCTGCCAGACTGTGACAGTTAAGGAAGACGAAGTATTTCCCATGAATCCTCCCAAATTTGATAAAATTGAAGACATGGCCATGATGACCCATCTCCATGAACCTGCTGTCTTGTATAACCTCAAAGAGCGTTATGCATCTTGGATGATCTATGTAAGTTGAATCAGAAATTGAAATTTAGTTATGATTTTTTCAATATAGCACCCACATATTATAATATGAAAATTGTCTCTTTTTTTCCTATAGACGTACTCAGGTCTCTTCTGTGTTACTGTCAACCCTTACAAGTGGCTGCCAGTATATAACCCAGAAGTAGTGTCTGGGTACAGGGGCAAGAAACGCCAGGAGGCCCCTCCTCATATCTTCTCTATCTCTGACAATGCGTATCAGTTTATGTTAACTGGTGAGTAAACAGAAATCAGTATCTGACTAGAATACAACAATTTTAAATGGATAGATCACATATATAATGATCTAGAATTCCCATTCACTGTTTTCTTGATGTCTGCACCTTCTGAGTTTGAACAACACAACCATATGTTGTGAGACCTCTAAAACAGAACGAAGGTCAAGTAGTCTGAAAGACTTGGGAGGCGTAATGTGATAGAGAGGCAGATACTGATTGTCTGAAGCTCTAACAGCAGGATGCTGAGACACTCTAAAACAGGAAACGAGGGAGCTATCCATGTCCTTGTATATGCAGACTGCTTCTTAATAATCCCACTGGGAATCCTGCCAGTAGGCAAAGCAAGGTAGCTGCCTTGCTTTGGTTACAGGCGTTGGGAGAGTTACAGACATTGAGGAGCAGGAAGAGACAGCAGAGTGTTAGAAGAGACAGGTGTGTGCTGTGAAGATAGTCTGTTGTCCCCTGGTATGGTGAAATATGATGCCCTATTGTCAGTGTCGAAGTGACATTCAACTGTCAGCTCAATCAGCTTCTGCACCTCGAATTGGGGTTGGGCACCATCTTGCCTCAAATAAACAAATATTTTGGCCTACGCAGGCTCATAACAGAAGTCTTTAAAAATGCTAGGTTTGCCCAGCCACTTTTGATACCCTAATAGCTGTTGCTAGTCATTTTAGACTGTACTGAGCTCAACAGACCAATAGTTTGACACAAAAGAGGACAACTTTTTAAGCACAATTTAGCCAAAATATAGAACTAATTGCTGTTTCTTTTTTAGACCGTGAAAATCAGTCAGTCCTGATCACGTGAGTATATTTTCAATATAACTATGTATGATGGTCATTAATTACTGAAGAAGATGGGTGCAACTTTGACCATTCTGCCTTGTGGGAGAGGTAGTATTGACTTGCAACGGACTGTACCCTTCTGACAATATTGCTCTCACTTTCCCTGACACACTCAAAACCTTTCACCATGTTGCAAAGCACATCCAAGAGTAGACTAACAAAATTTTGTTTAGGCTTTTCAGTTTTACCATATCTTCACTGACAAGTTTCCTGTTTGCAGTATCTCAATGGATATTAATTATTTCTTAAAGAGCTGCTCTTAAATGCCCCATCATGTCAGTTTTTGTTTCTGCAGGGTGGAAAGTTTAAAAGAACCTTGTGGCGCAGTAGTTAAACTGCAGTACTGCAGCCAAAACTCTGCTCATATCCCAGGTTCAATCGCAGGTAACCAGCTCAAGGTTCATTCAGCTTTCCATGCTGCCGAAGGTGGTAAATTAAGTACCCAGTTTGTTGGGGAGGCAATATGTAGCCTGCATAATTAACTTGCAAACCACCCAGCGAGTGCTTTAAGCACTACAGGGTGGTACATACGCAGCACACTTTGCTTTTTGCTTTTAATATATGTTTTATCACATAAAGAAAAAACAAAAGGAAAACTGTAGCGATAACACCTCCATCATGAAAAAAGGACATGAAATTGCAGGACAATTGGAAAAGAAGGCCTTTCTCTTGCTCTTGCTTTTCACTGTCAAGCTTATGGCAGTGCTGTTTCCTTCAACAGCAAATAACAAAACTGGCAGAGCTGTAGGTAGAAAGTTTGTAACTGCCAGCGCACTGATTTTTTTGCAGAGAATTACTGACCTCAGAGTAAACATTTACTGAACAGTCTTAGCCGTGGGAATGGGCACTGCTCAATGTTCCCTGTAATTTCCTCTAGCAACTGGAGGAAAATGGGTGGCAACGCTAGCTTGGCTGCATAAGATTGATGCAGTGCTGTGTGAAGCTTAGAGGAAATGCTGCACTGCTACATAAATTATATTACACTGTCAGTCTTAGCCATAGTATATTAATTTGTACAGTATAGTGAATTTTTCACTAATATATTTATGTGCAAATCCGTTCACAGACTGAACAATGTTAATTCATAATTATTAGTCATAATTCTCTTATATTACCAGCCCTTTAAATGTGCATAAGACATATGGATAGGTGAGTTAATAATATTCATTCCTAATAATATCAGCATCATAACCACAGTCACCAGTTCAGCAGTCCGTATTAAGAGACCTAGCAATCAAATTCTTCACCTACATCAAAATGGCAGCAGAAGTAGAAATAGTAAAGCAAAATACCCCTGATCTTTGTGGCAATCTCCTTCCGTTGCATCTCTAGGCATATCAAGAGAGACAAACTATACAATTTTTCTCTGTGGGCAGATGTCCTTGCTGAAGGAACAGAAGGATGAATATTCCTGGAGTGGTGTTATATGAGACCATTACTATTTCCACATTCAGCTTATTCTAAATACTGTACATATATATCAGTGCCTGTACAGCTATAATGAACTGTGAAGCAGCTATATAATTGTTGTATATTTTTATAATTTACTTTGTACCTCTTGTTTCAACAGTGGAGAATCTGGTGCAGGAAAGACTGTGAACACCAAGCGTGTCATCCAGTATTTTGCAACAATTGCAGTTGCTGGGGAAAAGAAGAAGGAAACACAGCCTGGCAAAATGGAGGTACATGACACCAGTCTTTCAAAGGCTCTCTTTTTGAAACATGGTGGTGGTTCTGTGAAATTGAAGAGGTATGGGGAGAAGAATTAGCTGAGTGCAGACTGAAGTTACTCCTAGGTAACATTTATCTGACTTGTACTTCTTACATTCCTTCTTCTGAGAAGGGATGCCATTTTAAAGTTTTATCCAGTTTAACAGAAAGCCGAAGGCTGCCATGATCTCTTGTGCTTTCCCTTGCATACAAACATGCTCAATAAGTCATTTCTCATGTTATAATTAGGGAACCCTGGAAGATCAAATTATCCAGGCCAATCCCCTTCTGGAAGCCTTTGGCAATGCCAAGACTGTGAGAAATGACAACTCCTCACGTTTTGTAAGTTCTTGTGAAAGTAATTTATGTTATAAATTTGGTATGTACATATTTCAGTCAAATTCACATGAAAAGACCTTATACTATGGATTATTTTTCCAATTCATTAGGGTAAATTTATCAGAATTCATTTTGGGACCACAGGAAAACTGGCTTCAGCAGATATTGAAACTTGTGAGTAGTAGCCACATCTCTGCATGACATACTAAGCACAATAATGAATTACCGTTTATTTTTCTTATTTGTGTCTATTTCCAAATTCTTTCAGATCTTCTGGAAAAATCCAGAGTAACGTTTCAACTTTCAGCTGAAAGGAGCTATCATATATTTTACCAGATAATGTCAAATAAGAAGCCAGAGTTAATAGGTATGTGGAAGCTCTAGAATATATATATTCTATATATCTTATGTAACATTGTATGTTACATTTCAGGTTATCCAGGCTTTGATGTGAACAAGAAACAAGACTGACGATTATTATTCTGTACCTATAGACTTGCTGCTTATTTCTACCAATCCCTATGATTTCCCGTTTGTGAGTCAGGGAGAGCTCACAGTGGCCAGTATAGATGATTCAGAGGAGCTACTAGCAACTGATGTGAGTACCTCTAAGACCTAATACAGATATTTCCAAATGTCAATGTAATTATACACTGTAGCCACATTTGGTTCTCAGTTAATGACAGGGAACCAGATATCTTTCCTCAAATCAGCATTTTCAGTGCAGTGTTATTGCAATTGCTCAACAGTCAAATCACCGTGAATGTAAAACCATGTCCTTCAGCAGAACCAACATCAGGTGATTTCCTCTCATGCTGCAGCCCTTCTCCAATGCTATCAAAAGTTGTTCCATAAATCTGGGAAACAGTCTGGGCTAGACTGGGTGTGTGTGTGAAGAGGGCTGCAGCGGTGTAGGGCAGTCTTAGCACTAAGTGCTAGCAGACATCCACCAGCATGCTATTAGATTTAAACCCAAGTTTATCACTGGAAAAATATGAATCACTCAACAGACATTGAGTACCATGTGGAACGTTGTTCTGTGAGAGATTCATACTCCCTGTTGGTTCTTTCCATTGTGAGAAGGCCACCTGCACATTCACAATGTGCATAGCTTTTCAGAAAAACTGAGAACCTATAAAGAAGCAAATTGATATTATACATCAAAGAATTCCAAACTTATTGAAAAGATCAGTGTTTCACAGCAGTAATTTATTATGTAACTTAAGAAATCTCTGAAGATATGTGATGTAAATGAGTATTGATGTCAACTTTGCATTGCCTTGACATATAAAGTGCTTGGGAACAGGAAAAATATAACTAAAAATATGGTGAAGTGAATGCCTCAGGATAATTTGGAGAAGGTTGTATATCCTCAGCTGCAAGTGCTGGGATGCTGGAAGAGGTGCATTGGAGTTTTTCCAAGGCAATGTCCACTGCTGGTTTTGCTCCTACTGTAATTCACTGTCAACTTGAAAATGGATCCAGATGAAGCTTCAGGTATAACACATTTGGTGGCCGCAGTCAATTGTCCCAACTGTGCTGAGAATAATCAACGAATGGAAATGGGGCTTTGCAACATATAATCTGTCCTGTTCCAGAAGCACAGAAGACTGATACAAAGACTGGATGTAAAGACCCTATATGAAGCTCATTGAAGTTGCAGATGTCAGCCTTGACAGCTCCACTGGAGGTCATCCTATAGTGATAGGGAAAACTGGTGCTGGATTTTGTTGAATCCAGACAGTTACTTCTCCCTTCAAACCAATATTATCTGTTTATATTCACTTTTGCTCAAAAGCTGGATTTTTTTTAAAGTAACATGTAAGTATCAGTCAATGCCTTCTAAAAGGCAACACACCAGTCATTTTAATAGTGATGTGTCAGTAACATGTTACTGTTTTAATTTCAAACCAATATTATCTGTTTATATTCACTTCTGCTCAAAAGCTGGAATTTTTTAAAAAGTAACATGTAAGTATGAGTCAGTGCCTTCTAAAAGGCGACGCACCAGTCATTTTAATAGTGACGTGTCAGTAACATGTTACTGTTTTTCTTTTTAATTTTTTTAAAAAGGCTTTAAAATATAAAAGGTTGCCAAAATTTCCACAACGTAATGTGCAAAATAACGTTTCTGTTGGACAGGGAAACGTAGCCTGTTGCATTGTTACACAGAAGTTATGTATTTATTTATTAAATTTATACTCCGCCCATATAGACACGAGTCTACTCTGGGCGGCTAACTAATGGAATATCAGTGAAGGTAATATCACTTCTAAGCACTCATGTTGTGGATCCCTTCACAAGCAGGGGAAATACTGTACAGTAGTGGCTTTTGCATCATCATCATCGTGGGAAAGCATTCTTCTATGGCAAAGTCCCTCAATCCGTTGGTGATCACGGAACAACTTTTACAACAAACAGCAAGTTTTTAAAGAAGGGTCAGGTTCAAGCCAATATCCCTTCTGGGTTTCTCTGTCCTTTCCACAGAGTGCAATTGACATCTTAGGTTTCACCGCAGAGGAAAAGGTGGGAATTTACAAGCTGACGGGGGCTGTCATGCATTATGGGAACTTGAAATTCAAGCAGAAGCAGCGGGAGGAGCAGGCGGAGCCAGACGGCACGGAAGGTAAACATTATAGGATGGACTCTCCTCGTGTTTCTCTTCTAAAAAGGATGAATGGATTGTTGTTAACAGCATTCCCTGATGGTTGGATTAATCATTATATATTAAACGCTATCTCGCAATATTCTCTCCCTGTCCCCCCCCCCACATTCCACTTTATTTAGGAAGAGTAAGAAACAGAATTCATGATAAGATTATGGGGATAAGACTAGTTTTCTGTAGATTTATTTTTATACCCAAATAACAGCTTCGTATTTAATTCCAATGGTCTCCCTCCATTAATACTCCTACTGGAAGACAAATGAGGCAACAAACAGGGCAAAGCAGCTGTGGGACAACATACAAACATGTAGCATAAGCACATGAAACGATACAAGCTATATGTCTTCATTGATACAGTCAATCTAAAGGTTGGAGGTTTCAAATGAAATTCATCCACACTTTTTGAATGTTGTTAATGACAAGATAAATGTAAACAAGTCCAAAGGGTTTTGTCGTGACTGCGCTTAAACTGCTTCTGGTTGTTTTGTTTCTTCAATGCCTAGTGGCTGACAAAGCAGCCTATCTGATGGGCCTGAACGCTGCAGATTTGTTGAAAGGCTTGTGTTATCCCAGGGTGAAAGTTGGAAATGAATATGTGACGAAGGGACAAAATGTTCAGCAGGTAACATCAGCCCCCAAACTTTTTCATTTATAGAGTTGTCTGCACATTGTTGTGTTCATGTTAAAGATGAACAGTTACAAAGTACTATATCGCACTGGCCACATGACCACAGAAACTGTCTACAGATAAACGCTGGCTCTATGGCTTGGAGACAGGGATGAGCATCGCCCCGTAGAGTTGGACACAACTGGTCAAAAATTGTCAAGGGGAAACTTTACCTTTACCTTTTTATAATAAGTAACAATACATTCATAGTGGCGGCAGCAGATTCTAGTAGAACTTCAGTAACGTGGGGGAAAAAACCTTCTCCACCAGAATAAGACCATCTAAGGTTTCTTAACTAAACCCTGGAAAGTAAAAGAGTGTAGTCCTGTCTATGTCAGACAACCTAACCAAACAAAACAAAACTGGCACTGAGAGCAGGGTCTAGTACATGATGTATAGCTCAGAGAACACTCACATAAGAGGCATTTTATGAGCTGCCTTAGATCTAAGCTACTTTTAATTCTAAAGATAAAAATCAGCATTTTATATTACATGTGGAAATTAAGTGCAGGCCAGTCCAATTCTTTTTGAGATAATTCTTCCTGTCACTTTTTTTTGGGATAGGTCTATAATTCTGTGGGTGCACTTGCAAAATCTGTCTATGAAAAGATGTTCCTCTGGATGGTAACACGCATCAACCAGCAGCTGGATACCAGGCAGCCTAGACAGCATTTCATAGGAGTGCTAGATATTGCTGGCTTTGAGATCTTTGATGTAAGTTAGATTTGCTTTTATCCTATCCATGAAAACCTATGCAAGATTTCCATGGTGATTAAAACTGACTCTGAAATTCTATTTCCTTTGTAAAGTACAACAGCTTAGAGCAGCTGTGCATCAACTTCACTAATGAAAAACTGCAACAGTTTTTTAATCATCATATGTTTGTGCTGGAGCAAGAGGAGTACAAGAAAGAAGGCATTGATTGGGAGTTCATCGATTTTGGAATGGATCTGGCCGCCTGCATTGAACTTATTGAGAAGGTGAGAGGTGTTTTCCTAAGAGTTTCCTTGTAGCAATTCCTGATCTAATTCTTAGCCTTTTCCTGGTATTATGTTGTAAGGCAACGTAATCCTAGAACAGGTGATACCTGTTCTAGGAAAAGAAAAAAAAAAGAGCTTTCAATGATACTTCATCTTTCTCAGACTGTGCACCAAGTTCTTGTGGGTAGCTCCAAAAGTATGTGTTAATATTAAGGTCCCAAAAGTTTCATGGCTGCTCTTTGGGGGGCTGAGGTAGTTTGTTAAATGAAGATAACTGTAGTCTGCAGTCTGCAAGATGCTTGGGGGGAAGGATGTGGTTTCAGTTCCTTCTTCAGCCAGTGTTTGAAATTTATGACCCATCTCTCTAAACCAAAGGCAGCCAGCACTCAGCCCCCATTCCTTTCCCATCCTTCCGCCTTCATTTGAAACTCAGGGCTTCTCTTTGGCTGTGGAAAACAAGCAGGATAACAGAAGCATAACAAGCCTCCATTAGAGTTGGGTTTCAAAATTTAGTTAAGCCACCAGGAACAGCCAATTTCAACCAAATCAAAGCCAGATCAATAGTTTTATATGGTGCATGCTTTTCTCAGCAAACAGTACTGCTTTTCTGGTTTCGAGAGTCCATTTTTTTTCTGAATGTAATCCTGGTATTTGAGCATTTCAACCTGTTATAACTACAGTGTAATAATTAAATGTTAAGTTCTTCAAAGAGTAGTTTTCCTTTACTGGACAGGTGTTTTTTTCTATAAAGAGCAAAGAGCATGGAATCTTGATTGAGATCATGAAATAAGAACTGCAGTGTCAAAACACAGTTTGAAGCTGATGAAAGAAGAGAAGTGAAACAATTTGTGGGCGTAAAAGCAATTGACACTGAACTGGTGGGACTGAAGAATCTGATGAAGGCTATGAAGGCTTGCAGTACAGAAGTGAAAGAATGGGGAAAACCACATGCACCTGTAAAATGTCTACTTGTGTGTGGCTTGATGTCTAGCTAAGGAATTCACTGGAAAGAAAGATAATATAATAATGACTCAAGCCAGTTGTTAGCAGGTCAGGGCAAAATAAAGAGAATCAGAAAAACTATCTGAGCCCTGAATATTCTCTGAATTGAACAGATGAACTAGTGAATTACTTATCTCTTGGAATGCCAAGGGACAGCTCATTAGAATAGATAAAAATATTATTTTGGTTTAATAAAACCAAATTATCACATGCTTCTAGGCAACTTACAACCATCTGTGTCATTGTACAAGTAACATGATTGTGTTAGGTTGATTAGGTTGAGCAACTGCTGCAGGAATCTGAAACCAAAAGCTAACTCTTCCACCATGGAAGATTACTGCTAAAGAACAAAAATAACTCTACAACAAAATTGACAGGAGAAAGAAATGAAGAGAATGTATTGTACCCAATTTATTTTCAGGAGCGAAAAGCAGCTACTCTAGCAATAGCTTCCACTGATAAGCCCACCACATTGTTGCATCATCACTGAAAGTATTAACAAGGTCTCTTTCCACCCACCCCCCGGTTTTGTTGTTCTTTCCAGCCCATGGGCATTTTCTCCATCCTGGAAGAAGAGTGCATGTTCCCCAAAGCAACAGACCAATCTTTCAAGAACAAGCTCTATGATCAACATCTTGGCAAGAGCAACAACTTTCAGAAACCCAAGCCTGTCAAAGGCAAGGCTGAGGCTCACTTGTCCCTGGTGCATTATGCCGGCACTGTGGACTACAACATCACTGGCTGGCTGGACAAAAACAAGGACCCACTCAATGAAAGTGTTGTAGCACTGTACCAAAAATCAGCATTGAAACTGCTGTCATTCCTTTATTCCAACTATTCGGGCTCAGAAACAAGTAAGCATCATTTTGTAAAATTAGAGACCTGTAACATTCTTCTTTTTTTTGGCCTGTTATTCCTTCTTTATCCACTATTCTGAACGGGAATCAAAAGTGAGTCTTCTGAGTCCTTATTCCTGTGTAGGATGATAATGTTTTGGATCCTTCTACATTGAGCACTGTTCTGTTATTCCTACTTGGTACAACTGATCCCTGGAAGCTAAATAGAACTCATATACTTAGTGCAGACTGATAGATTGCTCATTTGATCTACAGATGTGGAGAACAGATAAGGTTAGCAAACGTTAAGGAGAAGTGCAAGGTTTATGCAGGATAAGAGAAATCTTGGCTATTGTTCCTTCTTGGGATGCTACTTTTTGCAATTCTGCTCTTTAAAAGCAGCGTCTTTTGAGGAAATTTGTAAGCTGCTTCCTTTCAAATATGGTGTGAAACTCAGAAAAAGAAGCAAGCTTTCTTGAATTTGTATTTACACTGGAATTTTTCAAAACAGTTCACATAGAAAGTTCACTAATTCAGAGAGAGCCATATTTATGTTTTGTTACAATTGCTGGGAAATAACTCAGTTGTGATGAACTAGTTCCACCAATTTCATTGTGATTTGTGCTCATCTAGATAGAGCATTCTCCCCTCCCCCCCAATATGTACCCAATGGTGCACAGAAAATGTCTGTTTTCTCCCTGCCCAAAGGACACAAGGTTTAAATTGGCACTGATAATATCAAAGAGTGAAAACCCTGGTTTTCCACATTTTTAAAGACCACCCTTTTTGAAAGGTGGTTGTAAACTGAAGTGGATTAGCAGTGTGTCTCTGCTGCAGAGCTCAGATAAGTAAGCTTTAAATTATGGTGCTAACCTTTAAAAAAAAGAAACTAGCACTGAAGATAATTTTTAAAGAGTTTCCTCAACATTTTTGAAACAATTGTTTTCAAAAACAAGTGTTTTCTAGACTAGCAATGAATCTCTGCTGCAGAACTCAGACTGGACATTTTAAACATTGGTGCTAACTTACTTTTTTTAAAGATCATTTAAAAATATTTCTTCAGGCTTTTTGAAACATTTTTGAATAACTTCTTCAAAAGATCCTTATTTCTTTAAGAGAAGATAAGTGAGATTTTAGGAATGGCAAAAACTAGGGTAAAATTGGCACTGATGTGGCACAAACCTGCACCATCATAAAAGATGGAGGAAAAATGCTATGTCTGGATGACCCCTTACATGTACAGTAATTCCCACACAAAACTGTGTTGCCTTTGATCGTGGACACCAACTTTAGAAAAGATAATTCACTGACTTGTGAACTCTGTTTCCTTTGAATTTATAATGTTTCTCTCATCTGAACTGAACTTGATTTGGGGCTCTTGTCCAAAGTAAATGCTATATTGCCTACTTTCTAGCCATCACAGAGTTTGTAACACAAATTGATACCCGCTTGCATTCTATTTAATACAACAAGCTGCTAGTAGTTTTCTAGCTAAAAAAAAAACACCAAAAAGTATCTCTTATTCAGCTTTCATTGGTTTGGAAGAATCTGACTTTCTTGCACCCCCTCTCTTCTCCTTTGAACTTTAATTTTTTCTTTTCAAGCTTTCAATCACGTGTTTCTACTTGTGATCTGATATTAAATAGACTAAACAGGTTAAAGCTGATTGGCTTTTGCTCTTAGCCTATCCATCTAGTTCCTACATATCAGTGGCTTCCTTTAATTAAATAAAGAATGTGGTGGCATCCATAGTACAGTATAACGTTTCATATGCCTGGTGTTATATTCCAAGGTGACAGTGGTGGCACCAAGAAAAGTGGCAAGAAAAAGGGTGGCTCCTTCCAGACAGTGTCTGCTGTGTTCAGAGTAAGTTTGCACTTATATCTCTGCCCTTTTATAGGCTAGTTTGGGAGAGTCAACCTGGATCTTGAAGGCCATACACAGCCTTCTGATTAATTCCACGCAAGCAGTGGGAGCCCAGAGGGAAAGAGAGGGGGAAATGTAGTGGGGAAGCTATGACAAAGTGATAGCAGAGTGGGCAGGGGAAAGGACAGAAGGATTGTCAGGGAAGTCATTTGCATGTCATCCGATGTTTGGCAAGAGCAACCTGTCACATCCCTGGCAATATTTAATTGGACAGGAAGCAAGAGGTGGAGCAATAGAGGGAAATAGCCAGAGACAAAGAACAAGTGAAAGAAAAATAAGTAGAACCTGAATGAAAGAAAATGAGGGGGAACAAAGAAGTGAGCGGGAGATAAAGAGAAGGAAGAAAACAAGATAAAAAAGCATTGGCTCCCATTAACTTTTCTCTCAAGTTCCCTTCACTGCCAGTGTTTGGCAGGTTATCTTCTATAATGGTGATTACCAACCTTGTGTCCCCAAATGTTCTTGGACTGCAACTCCCAGAAATCCTGGCCAGCAGAGGTGGTGGTGAAGGTTTCTGGGAGTTTTAGTGCAAGAACATCTGGGGACCCAAGGTTGGGAACCACTGGTCTGAAGGAGTGTGACCCTTGACAGAAACAAAACAGAACAAAACAAAAGCTGTTCTTCACCCATAGATTGACACTGGAAATATCTATATGTTGTTGAGTTTGAAGTCCTTTACTTTTTCTTTTGGTACAGGAGAATTTAAATAAACTGATGACCAATCTCAGAAGTACTCATCCTCACTTTGTGCGCTGTTTAATTCCTAATGAGACAAAGACACCTGGTGAGTTGTTATGTCACGGACGTTTTCTGTGGAACAGGAGTGGGCAATTTTATTTTCTGTCAAAGTTTCTGAGCTAGAATAAATTGTAGGATCACCCTGTGCAGCAGTTGCTCCATCTTTCCTTAATACCGTATATGTGTTTCCTTAATACTATATATATGAGTAGAAACATGTGCCATTCCAGAATTCAGTGCAACTGCACCTGTAAATCTGATGACTTCTCTTTTTCCTTGTCTGGATTTGAAGGTGTAATGGATCATCATCTGGTGATGCACCAACTACGGTGCAATGGGGTACTGGAAGGTATTCGGATCTGCAGGAAGGGCTTCCCCAGCAGAATTCTCTATGCTGACTTTAAACAACGGTATGCAATAGCCAAGCCCCATATTTCATGAATATTTAGACCATTTCAACAAGTGAGGACAAAAAAACTGGGTAACTGCTGAATCAGAGAAGATAGCTGACATAGCCTTATAGTGCTTTCTGAATCTGTTTGGTCCCCCAAATATTTTTGAAGAGACATTAGTGACAAAGTGACCTTAAATTTCCTGTTACAGTCTGCTTTTCTGGGTTATAGAAGTGCTACTATAAACCTCACTACCTCACTACTGAAATATGTTATGCTGTGAATGGAGCAATTTCATGTTCTAAGTAACTAGCACATTCCCTAGTATAAGATGCTACCATGCTGTTTTTTTAAAAAATTACAATACCACTAATCCAAAGCAAAATACAGTCAATTGCATTGTGATGAGAAGTAACTTCTTATCTTTCAAACTTCATTTTAAAAAACTTATCCTATTATTTTGAGTGATGTTTTCTGCTTCCATATATACTTTGAAAGAAGAGTTTGGGTCACATAAGACAGATCCATGTTCTTGGGCCCACTGTGTTCTTTGTACATTTGTTCACTGTCCTGTACTGCAGGACTACTGTGGAGAAGTGACAGTCACACCAATAAATAGTTTAGCACGTGAAGCATGGAGGGGGGAATCAGTTGTCCCATACATATTGGTCACTGTTCTCTTTATTTTCCTATTAAAGCCAGTGTCATATGTAGCTGACTTGTGTTCTGCTATCTCTCTCTCTCTCTTTCTTTCTCTCTCCACCTCCCTCCTCTCCCCTTCCTTCCTTTGGCCTTTCTTACTACAGTTATAAAATTCTCAATGCCTCTGCAATTCCTGAAGGCCAGTTTATTGACAGCAAGAAGGCTTCTGAGAAACTCCTTGGATCCATTGATGTTGACCATACTCAATATAAATTTGGTCACACCAAGGTAAATATCAGGTTGAAATCTGGGTAGTGTTTCCAGCAAATGAATAAAGTGTATAACAGGACAGCAGTAGAAAATAGCAGGTGGTGTTAAGACTTCAGTATTTGGGATTCCTGTTTTCCTATGTTAATCATGTTTCGAATAATCTCCTTTTAGATATTTTTACCTACAACAGTGGCCTCTGCTACCAAAGATATTGAAGCCTGCCATTACAGGAGAATGTAAACCTTTGTTCTCTGGCCTGGAGATTCAGACAGTGTTAGTATAGATGATGCTGAGGTTGAGGTACTCTAGGAGCTGCAGTCCAAAAGGCAAGCATGTCCCAACTCCAGCCACAACAAGTAAAGACTCTGTTTTTATACAAAGGTAGCATGGAGTCAGGTTTAGGATGGGACTGCAATGATTTTGCCCCTCATCATCTCCCCAACATACTCCCTTTATTAATAAGGTATTCTTCAAAGCTGGCCTCCTGGGTTTGCTGGAAGAGATGAGAGATGAGAAATTAGTAGCTCTCATCACCCACACACAAGCCGTCTGTAGAGGATACCTCATGAGACTTGAATTCCAGAAGATGAATGCAAGAAGGTAATTGGTTATTTCTTCTTTATTTCTCCATACAGCATGCCCCCCCTCTCTGCATATGTTAATGAAGGAAACTGCCATTACCGATAAATATGGTCCCCTGCATCTTTTAGGCTGTGGGATGTCATGGCACCTCCAGACTTCTAATCTGAATATGTGCAAAATCATACTCTGTTATTTTGTGGTCTTCAATATGGATAAGTGCATGCCAACTCAGGGTTCAGTGACCTTATTCTTAACTTTCACTTATGCTCCAAATACAAATCCAGATATTTTGGAACTTTCCCCACTGCTGCTCTTTTTCATAGGGAAAATACCAAATGCAGGAGATGCATGTTCACCAAAATCACGAGTTCTGGAACATGCGAAGGTGAACTAACTTCCAGCTTAAGGTATTTTTCTTTTAATGCATTCGCAGAGAGTCTATTTACATAATTCAATACAATGTCCGTTCATTCATGAATGTGAAGCACTGGCCCTGGATGAAATTGTATTTCAAGATAAAGCCTCTGCTAAAGAGTGCTGAATCAGAAAAGGAAATGGCCAACATGAAGGAGGAGTTTGAGAAAACAAAAGAAAACCTGGTAAAGTCAGAAGCCAAACGGAAAGAACTTGAAGAAAAGATGGTGACTCTGATACAGGAAAAGAATGACCTCCAGCTTCAGGTTCAATCTGTAAGCAATCCACGCTTCCTTACTGCATCTTTGACTTTGCTCCTTTTCTGTGTAGTCCAGAACACAAACTGTGTTTGTCTCTGATGCACTGATTTATTGCATCTGGTCCTTACAAGATGCATAGCGGCTACACTGATGCCTGTGCCACTCCTCACTAATATACTCAGGCAACTAGAGCAAACTGAAGAATGCTGCAGAGCATACATTCAAACTAGCATGTTATGGTGGGAGAGGGAAGGTTTTTAATACAGAGGGAGAGGGCAGAAACTCCTCTGTTCCTAATCATTTCAACCTGGTCGTTCTTTTTGTTCTTTCATTGGAGTGATTATGATTAGTTAGACCAGTGATTCTCAGTCTTTGGTCCTCCAGTTGTTTAGGATTTCAGTTTCCATGAGCCCCAGCCAGCAAGACTAATGGTCATGCATAGAGCTGGAGTCCAAAACATCTGGAGGGTCAAAGGTTATGAACTACTAAGTTAGGCTACTTAGCTAGGCCCCAGTGAAAAGAAGACTAACACATATTCAAATCTATTTGATAGTGAATAAGCAGAGGATATAAATAGATTTTTGACAGATGTTTTGATATTTTGTAGATAAACCTTGCTGTGCATTTGCACATGACATCTTCTTATCTATTCAACATGACATCTTGCTATCTGTTCCCATAGAAGATAGATCAGTGGTACATAATTCAGAATTTCATGAATTAAAAAACACACACCATGCCCAGCCTTCTTTTTTTCTTTCTATAGGAATCTGAAAACTTAGCAGATGCTGAGGAAAGGTGTGAAGGACTCATCAAAAGCAAGATTCACCTTGAAGCAAAAATAAAAGAGTTGACAGAAAGGTTGGAAGATGAGGAGGAGATGAATGCTGAGTTGACAGCAAAGAAGAGGAAACTTGAGGATGAGTGCTCAGAGCTAAAAAAAGACATTGATGACTTAGAACTTACATTGGCCAAAGTGGAGAAGGAGAAGCATGCAACCGAGAACAAGGTGAAGAGACGTCCTGATCGTAATGCCATTATGAGAACATTGTTTTTTGATTCAAAATAAATGTAAACATGTCAATCAATAGAAAAGGAAAGAAAGAAAAGGGAAACTAAGCTGTTACTTCTTCAAAATGTTTCGGTTATTTGCACATTTTTTCCAACAATGTGTTGCAGTAGCTGGAATCTGAAGTACATGTAAAGCACCCAGGAATTTAAAGCTCCCAGACTATTATTTCTAAGGTATTCACTTGCTACCCAGAGCAAATCGCATGATATTTCAGTTTTTTTACAGAGCTGAAAGGGCAAAATGGGAGAACATGTATTTTTCCTTCAACTTTCTAAAGATTAAAATGACAAACAAGTTTAAACAGTGTGGTGATAGATGAAAAAAGCATATCAGGCAAAATCCAAAGAAACAAAATGAAACAAAAAAAAAGAGGACAAAAACATATGGCACCGTAAGACTATTATATTTTAATGTGAGCTTTTGTGGATAATGTTCACTTCTTCAGAAATATGGGGTGGGGGGAGATATACGGAATGAAACACAAGAATCATAAGTAAAACATTCAAAACATGCATTGGCTTTAAGAATTTTGTGTGTGTGGTTATAACTCACATGAAGTAATTTATGGTCTATGAAAAAGGTAGTGTCTTTTAGGCTATCCTGAGTACAAACAGGATTTAATAAGTCTACTGCAATTTTAAATTAAATTTGTGATAAGAGGATGAATGTTTCTAGACTAAACTAGAATCATTACCTCATTAGCTGTGCAGAGGAGGCTTACAGTGTTTGGGAAAACATGTAGGGAGACTCAGAAACTGCCTAGCAGCCTCCTGTCTACATTAGAGTACACTGGCTTAGAATTAAAGAAGATCCCCATGGCTGCATGCCTCTGATTTTTCCTGACAACACCTCCAGTTTTCATTCTGGAAGGCTTTCCACATGGTAGTGTGACTAGATGTCCTAGTCAACAGAGAATGATTCTCTATTGTTCTGTCAAAGGGATGGCCGACCAAAGTCTGCTTTCTTTATAAGCAATAATGAACAGAGCAAACTCCTTGAAGTTAGACCTAGGCAGCAGACAGAAGAAACATGGGTCACTTATTCTCAGTTTTTCTGGTTGTACATTCAGTGAACAAATTTTGAGACAACTGAAAACCAAGCCAGTTGGCGTTGGTGCAAGACTTAAGTAACCTTCACTTGTATCTCACCATTTGCCAACAATCCACTGGAACATGTGTTTGGCTGTTCCCCAAAACTTTACGTCTTCTCATAGCTGGGCACAATGCCATTTCCATTTCCATGCGTTTCAAAGCCCTGAAGGAAGAAGAAGTTGCAGTTACCAAAACAAATACAGGTTAATTTTTAAAACACACAGCCCCAAACAAAAACTACCATTATGAGTAATTTCTGCTCACAAATGTCCATGTAGAATATTGGTCTTCCTCAACATCTAGCCACATTTCTAATACTGGAGTTCGACTTTTAAGACTTAGGGAAATAAGCATACACCCAAGTAGTCCAGCAGCTAGTTGGATTGTACCGGGACTTCTTTCCACATTGACATGGGAAAGTTATGTTCTTTAATGGCTGATATTTTTTCATTTTTGTTTTCAGATTCCGTGAACCAAAATTCATCATTGTTTGCTTGGTATTAATATCTTATTCAGTGTGGCTTATTACATTCATAAGTAAGATATTCTATGTATTTTATTGCCTCATTTCCACACTTGTTATTTGTGAATGTGAGTTATACCTGAAGGGGATTTTAATATATCAATCTTTGTCATTAATTTCTTTTTTACTCACAAGTCAATAAGTCTGTATACCACATTTTTATTGTGTGTGGCCAGGCAATTAGTCTAATGGGAGTGATCGTTTTCATTTAGGTTAAAAATCTTACAGAAGAGATGGCAACTTTAGATGAAAATATTTCCAAGCTTTCCAAAGAAAAGAAGACCCTCCAAGAGGCCCACCAGCAGACCTTAGATGATCTCCAAGCTGAGGAAGACAAAGTGAACAGTCTATCCAAAACAAAGTCTAAACTTGAACAGCAAGTTGATGATGTAAGAGAATTATTATTGATAAGTAGGGGTGTACAAGGACCATCTAAAGTGAATCATATGCAAATATTTGTTATATAAAGGTAAAGGTTCCCCTTGACAATTTTTGCCCAGTCGTGTTCGACTCTAGGGGGCGGTGCTCATCCCCGTTTCCAAGCCATAGAGCCAGCGTTTGTCCAAAGACAATCTTCCGTGGTCACATGGCCAGTGCGACTTAGACACGGAACGCTGTTACCTTCCCATCAAGGTGGTCCCTATTTATCTACTTGCATTTGCATGCTTTCGAACCGCTAGGTGGGTGGGAGCTGGGATAAGCGACAGGTGCTCACTCCATCACGTGGATTCGAACTTACAGCGGAAGATCTACAGATCTTGCAGCACAGAGGCTTCTGCGGTTTAACCTGCAGTGCCACCATGTCCCTATTTGTTATATAGATTGGGATAAACCTGCTCTGTGCTTGTTTAGATGTGGCCTGAACCACTGTGTTCAGGTATTGAACTTGCAAGTATTATGCTTCCAGATGGGTGAAGGAGAAAGTTGTAGATGGAATTGTGGATGGAGAAAGATGGAGAAAGCAAAGGGCTATGACTTAACATAAGGGTATGTGAGGAACCTTCACTGCATAGGAAAAGGTCCTACCAACTTTCTTCCTTCTGCACCAGCACCTCCAAGGAGTTGTGCACTCTGCTCCTTGCCCAACTCCTGCCCTTCCATCAGCTATCAGTAGGTATAAAATATATAAGAAAGTAGAGAAATGATAAGCTTGGAAGAGTCTTAATCGGCCATAGTCTTCTGTTAAATTACTCTGTTTTTGAAGCATACAGAGGTCTCTGTGACTCAGTGGACTTTCTCCACTCTGAGGTTCCTACTGCTTTACAAAGTTAAATACTATATTTCTCTTGGAACAATAATATTAGATTAGTAACTGTTGTTCAAATGTATTGTTTTAGCTTGAAGGCTCCCTGGAGCAAGAGAAGAAGCTTCGTATGGATCTTGAAAGAGCAAAGAGGAAGCTGGAGGGAGATCTGAAGATGTCTCAGGAATCCATCATGGATCTGGAGAATGACAAGGGACAGATGGATGAGAAACTGAAGAAGTAAACTGCTAACCATTTAACTTTCTGCTTTTGGGTCTCAACTTGACCCGTCCTCTTAAAATGCCTGCTTTCTTTCTTTCTTTTTGTTCACTAGGAAAGAGTTTGAAATCAGTCAGTTACAAGGAAAAATAGAGGATGAACAGGCTCAAAGCTCTCAGCTACAGAAAAAGATTAAGGAACTACAGGTAAATCTTAGATACATGTTGGCTTTTTTGTTTTGTTTTGTTTTGGTTTTTTTTGTTTGGAAACATCTCAATTTAAGTTTATACCTGGCTTTTAAAATTGCACTCTTACTCAAATTCAACACACACATCAAAGTTGAATGTACACATACATATTTATCATGAGGATGTTGCATGAAACCTCTTTAGATGGTATAGTATATAATTCTGGAGGATCAAGAATTTGCTATGCAAATCACTACTAAAACCTATATACAAAACATATTTATAGTGGGAAAATTACCATGGAGATTATAGGCAACAAGGCAACCTTGAATGTAATGATACTGGTAAAATGGAAGAAAAAGGAGGAGAGAGATTAAAGTCTGGAAATATGAAACTGTGACAGAAGAGTACAAAAACAAGGTTTGGAATGCTATAAATCCCAGTTGTAAATTACAGGAATAGCCTTCTTAAAATCTGCAGGGGGCAGAGATGCTCTTGCATCTTCTTTTATTCCCTGGGCTATCTTTGGGAGGCTTAGCAAAAAAAAGGAACATCATTGTTTGTTCCATAGCCATAACTAGACAGATAAATGATAACAATCATGGCTGTAGGAAGAAAGGAACTGGAGGAAGAAGCTAGCAAAGATGAAGAACAGACCTAACTGTAGATGGATTTCTGAACAAAGATTATTCAAATTTCACAGACAGATGAACTCTTTTTAGTTCAGGAGAGAGAGAATTCAAAAACAAAGGGAATACAGTAAATGTGAATTTGGAATAATGAGCTATCTCTCTGCTTGTCTCTAGACAGTTCTGAATCCAAAGTGGTAGGAGATTAAGGTTGCTGTAGGTGCCATATATAAACATTAGATGGATGTTTTTATCCTTAAGGGCTATAGACAACTGCAAGTATAACTATCATCAGCTATGGTAGCACTTCATCCATTCAGTATTTTCATCATAGGACTATAGCCTGGCTATTTCTGATTTCAATAGTGAGAGCAAACATACAGATATTGGAAGATTCCATTCCTACGTTCTGTATACCATTGAGAATGTTTCTAACAATTAAGTGACAGATCATTAAATGCAAACTACAGTTTGCTTGCTCTGATCAATCTTAAATCCTTGCTTAGCCAGCCTTTCTGAGAAAATGTATAGTTTTACCAAAATTTGCTTGACAAAAAAACATAACTTTGTCTGGATTCTGTCTACAGAAATTAAAATCACATCTTCTATGATCATTGGCATGTCTTTCAGGCTACAGAAAGTGAACTATGTTCAGAGAACAAATTAATTTTTGCTTTGCTTGTTGATCACAATAACATATGAATTCTTTATGCTACATATGGCTATCTCAAAACTAAAATGGGTGTACTGTATTCCAAAAAAGGCTCGTATGGAAGAACTGGAGGAAGAGATTGAGGCTGAACGTGCTTCTCGAGCCAAAGCAGAGAAGCAGCGGGCTGACCTCTCCAGGGAACTGGAGGAAATCAGTGAGCGTCTGGAAGAAGCTGGTGGGGCAACAACGGCTCAGATTGAGATGAACAAGAAGCGTGAAGCTGAATTCCAGAAAATGCGCCGAGACCTTGAAGAGGCCAGTCTGCATCATGAAGCCACAATGGCTGCCCTCCGGAAGAAGCACGCAGACACTGTAGCTGAACTTGGGGAACAAATAGATAACCTTCAGCGAGTGAAACAGAAGCTGGAAAAAGAGAAGAGTGAGCTGAAGATGGAGATTGATGACCTTACTGGCAACATGGAGTCTGTCTCCAAAACTAAGGTAGACAATTGAATCTCTCCATTGTTGCTAAACGCTCTCCTCTAGTTTCTGATTAATATTCTAAATAACGTGGGTGTTTTTTTTACAAAACAAAGAGTAATCTAGAAAAGATGTGTCGAACCCTTGAAGACCAGTTCAGTGAAACCAAGACGAAAGATGAGGAGCATGTGCGCCTGATCAATGAAATGAACACTCAGAAAGCACGGCTGCACACTGAAAATGGTGAGTTTGGTCACTTTTAGACTAAAGCATGACCACTGTTATATCTATCTATTCATTTCAAATACTCTTATCTTGCCTTTCCATAAAAATGTTTGGGCTCCCCATGCTAAATGTGCTATCATCATTTATATCAACCCTGTCAGCAACAGCAAAGACAACATGTGAATTTGAAGAATCATATTTGAGAATTAAAATCATGGCAGGCCATGGTAATATCTGTTTTCAAAACATTTGAGACAGAAATGGAACAATGTGATTTTTTCCCCCACAAGGTGAGCTTTCTCGACAGCTAGAAGAAAAAGAATCTTTGATTTCTCAGTTAATAAGAGGTAAACAAGCCTTCACCCAGCAGACGGAGGAACTCAAGCGGCAGCTGGAGGAAGAAAATAAGGTGATTTTCCCCTTCTGTATATCTTTTCATAGAACTGAGGGATGAACAATTCAAATGGAAAGAGGCAGGAAAGCAAAGCAAAACAAAACAAAACCACCAGCAGATAGGGGCCACAGAAGAGTTAGATCTAATTTCCAGCTGACATGAACGGATGAGAATTTAAGGGCAAATTATAAATAAGAAATATAGCAACACATGAAACAAGGAAAAGTAAAACTGCTAGAGATGCTACCATTTTGACTGAAAGGGCACAGTAATGGTGAACAGGTGAAATACATATCCCCAACATAAGATTGTATCTACAGAAGTCTTTGCGGTAACAGTGCGGCTTTACAAAGTTAAATACTATATTTCTCTTGGAACAATAATATTAGATTAGTAACTGTTGTTCAAATGTATTGTTTTAGCTTGAAGGCTCCCTGGAGCAAGAGAAGAAGCTTCGTATGGATCTTGAAAGAGCAAAGAGGAAGCTGGAGGGAGATCTGAAGATGTCTCAGGAATCCATCATGGATCTGGAGAATGACAAGGGACAGATGGATGAGAAACTGAAGAAGTAAACTGCTAACCATTTAACTTTCTGCTTTTGGGTCTCAACTTGACCCGTCCTCTTAAAATGCCTGCTTTCTTTCTTTCTTTTTGTTCACTAGGAAAGAGTTTGAAATCAGTCAGTTACAAGGAAAAATAGAGGATGAACAGGCTCAAAGCTCTCAGCTACAGAAAAAGATTAAGGAACTACAGGTAAATCTTAGATACATGTTGGCTTTTTTGTTTTGTTTTGTTTTGGTTTTTTTTGTTTGGAAACATCTCAATTTAAGTTTATACCTGGCTTTTAAAATTGCACTCTTACTCAAATTGAACACACACATCAAAGTTGAATGTACACATACATATTTATCATGAGGATGTTGCATGAAACCTCTTTAGATGGTATAGTATATAATTCTGGAGGATCAAGAATTTGCTATGCAAATCACTACTAAAACCTATATACAAAACATATTTATAGTGGGAAAATTACCATGGAGATTATAGGCAACAAGGCAACCTTGAATGTAATGATACTGGTAAAATGGAAGAAAAAGGAGGAGAGAGATTAAAGTTTGGAAATATGAAACTGTGACAGAAGAGTACAAAAACAAGGTTTGGAATGCTATAAATCCCAGTTGTAAATTACAGGAATAGCCTTCTTAAAATCTGCAGGGGGCAGAGATGCTCTTGCATCTTCTTTTATTCCCTGGGCTATCTTTGGGAGGCTTAGCAAAAAAAAGGAACATCATTGTTTGTTCCATAGCCATAACTAGACAGATAAATGATAACAATCATGGCTGTAGGAAGAAAGGAACTGGAGGAAGAAGCTAGCAAAGATGAAGAACAGACCTAACTGTAGATGGATTTCTGAACAAAGATTATTCAAATTTCACAGACAGATGAACTCTTTTTAGTTCAGGAGAGAGAGAATTCAAAAACAAAGGGAATACAGTAAATGTGAATTTGGAATAATGAGCTATCTCTCTGCTTGTCTCTAGACAGTTCTGAATCCAAAGTGGTAGGAGATTAAGGTTGCTGTAGGTGCCATATATAAACATTAGATGGATGTTTTTATCCTTAAGGGCTATAGACAACTGCAAGTATAACTATCATCAGCTATGGTAGCACTTCATCCATTCAGTATTTTCATCATAGGACTATAGCCTGGCTATTTCTGATTTCAATAGTGAGAGCAAACATACAGATATTGGAAGATTCCATTCCTACGTTCTGTATACCATTGAGAATGTTTCTAACAATTAAGTGACAGATCATTAAATGCAAACTACAGTTTGCTTGCTCTGATCAATCTTAAATCCTTGCTTAGCCAGCCTTTCTGAGAAAATGTATAGTTTTACCAAAATTCACATGACAAAAAACCATAACTTTGTCTGGATTCTGTCCACAGATATTAAAATCACATCTTCTCCGACAATTGGCATGTCTTTCAGGCTAAAGAAAGTGAACTATGTTCAGAGAACAAATTAATTTTTGCTTTGCTTGTTGATCACAATAACATATGAATTCTTTATGCTACATATGGCTATCTCAAAACTAAAATGGGTGTACTGTATTCCAAAAAAGGCTCGTATGGAAGAACTGGAGGAAGAGATTGAGGCTGAACGTGCTTCTCGAGCCAAAGCAGAGAAGCAGCGGGCTGACCTCTCCAGGGAACTGGAGGAAATCAGTGAGCGTCTGGAGGAAGCTGGTGGGGCAACAGCAGCTCAGATCGAGATGAACAAGAAGCGTGAAGCTGAATTCCAGAAAATGCGCCGAGACCTTGAAGAGGCCAGTCTGCATCATGAAGCCACAATGGCTGCCCTCCGGAAGAAGCACGCAGACACTGTAGCTGAACTTGGGGAACAAATAGATAACCTTCAGCGAGTGAAACAGAAGCTGGAGAAAGAGAAGAGTGAGCTGAAGATGGAGATTGATGACCTTACTGGCAACATGGAGTCTGTCTCCAAAACTAAGGTAGACAATTGAATCTCTCCATTGTTGCTAAACGCTCTCCTCTAGTTTCTGATTAATATTCTAAATAACGTGGGTGTTTTTTTTACAAAACAAAGAGTAATCTAGAAAAGATGTGTCGAACCCTTGAAGACCAGTTCAGTGAAACCAAGACGAAAGATGAGGAGCATGTGCGCCTGATCAATGAAATGAACACTCAGAAAGCACGGCTGCACACTGAAAATGGTGAGTTTGGTCACTTTTAGACTAAAGCATGACCACTGTTAGATCTATCTATTCATTTCAAATACTCTTATCTTGCCTTTCCATAAAAATGTTTGGGCTCCCCATGCTAAATGTGCTATCATCATTTATATCAACCCTGTCAGCAACAGTAAAGACAACATGTGAATCTGAAGAATCATATTTGAGAATTAAAATCATGGCAGGCCATGGTAATATCTGTTTTCAAAACATTTGAGACAGAAATGGAACAATGTGATTTTTTTCCCCACAAGGTGAGCTTTCTCGACAGCTAGAAGAAAAAGAATCTTTGATTTCTCAGTTAATAAGAGGTAAACAAGCCTTCACCCAGCAGACGGAGGAACTCAAGCGGCAGCTGGAGGAAGAAAATAAGGTGATTTTCCCCTTCTGTATATCTTTTCATAGAACTGAGGGATGAACAATTCAAATGGAAAGAGGCAGGAAAGCAAAGCAAAACAAGACAAAACCACCAGCAGATAGGGGCCACAGAAGAGTTAGATCTAATTTCCAGCTGACATGAACGGATGAGAATTTAAGGGCAAATTATAAATAAGTAATATAGCAACACATGAAACAAGGAAAAGTAAAACTGCTAGAGATGCTACCATTTTGACTGAAAGGGCACAGTAATGGTGAACAGGTGAAATACATATCCCCAACATAAGATTGTATCTACAGAAGTCTTTGCGGTAACAGTGCGGTAACAGTGCGACTTAGGATAAAGAAAGCAATAAAATAAATATAATTCTCAGAAACCAATAACAGTATTTAGTGAGATATTCACTGGAAAAAAACACCTTATGAATTGGTTTGAAAGGTACAAACCAACTGCTAAAGGGAAGGTCATTGAATAAAGCCTAAATGTCTTATATGGCATAACCACAAGACAAAAATATTGTCTAATTGAACCAACTTCTCATTGAACATGTGATTATCTTCCTAATAAAATTGTTAACCCCCAGGCAAAGAATGCCCTGGCCCATGCCTTGCAATCTGCTCGCCATGACTGTGACTTGCTCCGGGAGCAGTTTGAAGAGGAGCAGGAAGCCAAGAGCGAGCTCCAACGTGCCATGTCCAAGGCCAATAGTGAAGTGGCCCAGTGGAGGAACAAGTACGAGACAGATGCCATTCAACGCACAGAAGAGCTGGAAGAGGCTAAGTATGTACAAGGAAAGAAATTGGGGAAGGATATTGGAAATATTAGAAAATAATCTAACCAGTAGACATTCTGCATCATATTCTCCATTGCTGCAGTGGATGCCATCTAGTTTTTGTTCATTTTACAGTGGAAGCTGAATTGTTCGCAAAGCCCCTCAGCTGCTTCTCTGCCCCCCCCCCAGGCCTTTCCTATTGCCCTTCTTACCTATTTTATCAGTTCTGTACCTCAAATTATTTTGAGTTAATATTATGTTGTTTTTTGTGTATGTGTTTAATTTTGATTTTTTTTAGCAGTCATTATGTTCACTGTTCTTAAATTGCTATTTATTATTTTATAATATTGTAAATTGCCCAGAGTGGCTTGGTAGCCAGATGGGCAGTATAAAAATTGAATGAATGAATGAATGAATGAATGAATGAATGAATGAATGAATGAATGAATGAATGAATGTTTTCTCACACACTAAAAGGGAGAGTTTCCCCTTGCACCTATTGCCCTGCCACTTCCTTATCTGTCTGTCTGCCACCTAGCCAGGATCCCTACTTTTCCCTTCCCTTCTTGTCCTCCAAAACTGTTTGTAAAAATAGCTTCCATGTGTGACATGCGTTTTGGGGGTGCTTTATTTATTTATTTTTTCCATTTTTCAGGAAGAAATTGGCTCAGCGTCTTCAAGAATCAGAAGAGCAGATTGAGGCAGTAAATTCTAAATGTGCTTCACTAGAGAAGACCAAGCAAAGGCTGCAAGGAGAAGTCGATGACCTCATGATTGATGTGGAGAGGTCCAATGCAGCCTGTGCAGCCCTGGACAAAAGGCAGAGGAACTTTGATAAGGTCTCATTTTCTTATTGGATAATGGGTGGATTAGTGACATTTCCAGGAGCCATCTTTTATTATTGCCGTGAATCCAGCACAACGTCTTTCAGGGCAGCAGCTCAGTTCTCACTTGACATTTATTTGTCATCACATGACCTCATATAATGTCCTTTTGGAAAGCAACATTAGATCCTTTAGTATGTTACCAAGTAAGTAACGCTAAGACAGATAAATAAAACATGCCCACCAGTGTTACATGAGATAGGGACTACGTCCAGAAATTGATAACCTGCATTAGGAGGTGGATTGATCTTTAGATACTACAGGATAATAATGAACAACTCCCTACACTTGATAGAAACCACCCTCCTTATGAAGTTAGGTCCAGTGTGCAACCACTTCCAAAGAATTCAAAATCAAAGCTTTCTGTTTACTTGTTTATTCCTTCCCAACAATACTATATATTGAGGGCCATGTTGTTATACATGAAAACATCCTTGACACATGCTTCTTGTAGCCAAGCTGCTATTGCAGAACCATTTCTGGCACAGTATTCTTTTGAGCTTGTAGATGGTTGACTCACATTCAAGGACAGTTCGAGACTTGGGTCGCCCCTTGGCAAAAGCATCAGCTGGTAGGCCCTGCCCTCTATTGGTGAGCAGTTGCAGATGGCATTAATGGACTAAGGAGCAGCAGGTGGTGGGGGTGGGGGGCACTGCTTTAATTTCTTTCAGCATTCTGGAGTGATGCTATGTCAGGAAAGCAAAATAACAGCTGAACCCAGCTGCTAGATGCTTCTTGAAATGCTGGCCAGTTTTTTTAAAAATAACATCAAAGAGTTTTGTGGCCTATTACAGGCTAGCAGGTTTTATTTGGTATAAGCTTCCATGGGTTGCATCCTACTGCAACAGATGCGGTCCATAAGGATTATGTTGCTCTGAATGTGTTTTCGGTATTGGTTTTGTTTACCATTTTAGTGTGGCATTTGCTTGAGTCTTTTTAAAATGTTTCTGTACTTACTGTTTTTAGCTTTTAAATATTGTCTTTTACTGATGTAGCAACCCGAGGTCCTTTTTAAGGATAAAGGTAAGCTAAAACATTTTCAGTAAACATATGAATTGTATCAGATAAAATATGTTTGTCTTTAAGGTGGCAAAAGACTCATGCCTGTTTTTGTTGCAAAACAGCAATGTGGCTACTCCCTGGATATACATATATATATTTTAAGCAGTACCCTAGGCAGGCATCAACTGTGGGCTCTGTGACACTTTTGGAACCCTGGCAGATAATCAAGGATGATGCCACCTGCGGATGCTGGCCCTCAAAAGTGCCCTGTCTGAAATCTAGGGCACAACATAATATTGTCTTACTGTACTTCATATGCGTTGCATCTATTCCGTAGGTGTTAGCAGAATGGAAGCAGAAGTATCAGGAATGTCAGGCCGAACTGGAGGCTTCCCAGAAGGAGTCACGATGTCTGAGTACTGAAATCTTCAAAATGAAGAATGCTTATGAGGAAGTGTTGGACCAGCTCGAAACTCTCAGGCGAGAGAACAAAAATCTGCAGCGTAAGCTTCTCTTTGCCCTACAGTCTTTAGTCCAGCATAGGGATGCAGTATGGGCAGACACTTATAACCACTTTTCACCTATTTGGGTTTTTTTTTTTAACTTCCTAACCCCAGGTCAGTAGATCCTTTAGCAGATTCACAGATTTCCCCCTCCCCATGAAAAAAATAACAGCTAACATGCTTTCCAGGGCAAAACAAAGGAAGGGAATTTTGCCCCTCCAGGCCGTGACATCACTATTTCAGATTATTTAGACATTATTCAGGAATATGATAACTTCCAGTCTGGGTACCGCAAAGCCCATGCTCCTGCCTGTCTGCTGAGCTTGAAAGCTGAAAGTATGGTTCACATGTAAACTCGATGATTGCAGCATTAAACAATGGTGAATTATTTGTGTGAAGCAGGTTGTTACAGGTCAAACACCACAGACAGATTTTTTTTCCTGATCCCTTCAGTGAAATTTTTTTTTCAACTGAGTCAATGATGAGCATGCACACATGAACCAGATTTGCAAAACTGATGTAAAGAGCTAAGCATCTTAAAATCTACATAACAATCTAGCTGACACATCAGAGGAAACGTCCTTTCCTATGTGGGTTCCCCATGCTTTAGAGTCATTTACAGAGCCTCTGCCCCACATACCTTCAATGTAGAAAGCACATGTTGCTATTTCATAAATATTTCACTAGTTTGTCTTTTCTGTATTTTGTATGATATTTTGAGTTTTCTAATCAGAAAAATTATTAATGTGTATAACCTTCCCTTTGAAAATAATAGGTCTTAAAGTACAGTACTTGAACTAATTGGATTATGTAATCTGAGCTGACACCAGTACGTCTGATAAAATCAGTGTAAACTGTGGGCTGCATCCACATTTAGGCATTTACAACCTGGACTATAGAAGTGGTTGTCCTCATGCTCCACCCACCCTCCTAAGAGCTCCTCCAGCCCCTGGAGATGTTCCTCAGAGGGTACTGCTGAATGGTGTGCCCTCTGATAAGTATCATGAGGGAAGTCACTGAAATTTTGATGAAAATACCTTTTGTGTTCAGATCATAATTATACCACAAACGTTTGCTTTGAACTGATTGGAAAAACTATTGGTTAAAAAAGCATGCATCTCATATGCTGCTGGAAATCTTATTGGACTGCACTTTAGTATTAAGCGCAGTACAGTATTGGTAATTGTGGTAATACTGATAAACTACTGGGTTTCTTTTTGCAGAGGAAATTTCTGACCTAACTGAGCAGATGGCTGAAACTGGCAAGAGCAACCATGAGTTAGAGAAGGCAAAGAAACAGATTGAGCAAGAAAAGTCAGACCTCCAAGCTGCCTTGGAAGAAGCTGAGGTGAATGTGGACTCTTCAGAGACTTCGTTCGCGGGGACTCTGCCTAGGTGGAACGCTCCTGCCCTCCAGCGGCCGTTCCCTGTCAAGTACAGACCAAGATAGCGCTGCTTCAAAAAAAAAAAAAAAATGATTTCCCCATGGCCTCGCCTGAACTGATAGAGAAAACTCTGCGGCTATCTCACTGAAACATTGGGAGGGTTCTTACTGCCACCTCTTGGCTACACGTAGAATGCATGATTAAATTAAAAAGGCTTATTCACTCTGTTAGGAAGTGCTCCGGCAACCAAATCAAACTCAAAAATCTAACTGCATTTTCTCTGGAGTGATTTGAGGGCTGTGCCAAGCCAGCATCTAAAACACTGCAATGCTTAGGAACATTGCAGTGTATAATAGGGGGCAGGTCTTTCATTTTATCTTGATTTAAGGTCTGTCTTGTACTGCTGTTATTTTGAACAAAATAATTTCAGTACTGTATTAGGGGAAACAGTGATATTTCAGGGAAACTGGATGTGTTTGTATTTATTTATTCACAATTTTTGGATTCTGCCCTTGAGCCAATAAGGCTCTCAAAGTGGAATGGAGATGATAAAAAAAACAACACACAAGATATTCCTTGTTTTCGGTATTCTAGGACGACTGGGCATCTTTTATCACCTTAGGGAGTTCTGCTTGTAACTGCATGCAGAACACATCATCTAGTTTGGGCCTCACATCCTGGTTTTAAAGCTACAGAGTCTTTAGAACAACTAGCTTGGGATGAAAACATTTTAGAGAGGCAATGAACCAAAGGTAGCTGTGTTTCAACAGAGCTGATGGAACGGCTCTCCTTCCCATCTTCAGCTGTGCCAAACAGCAATGAATAAAGACATAAGATTTTTATTTTATTTTATTTTGCCCTGTAATAGGCAACATAAAGAGCATCTGGAGCAGCTAGCATCAGACATTTCCCAGTACATGTTGAGGGGCACAGAGTACACTGACAAACAGTAGGCGTGACACACTCACAAGGGACTGTTTCAGTGCAAAACACCCATTTTCTCAGGCTCACTTTGGTTCTGTCCATTCCACTTTATAGCCATTTAAGTGGCTTCCAAGTAACCTACTTCTCGAGGAACGTGGGTGGCTCTTTCTTTCCTTATTATAGTGGAATATAAGCAACTTATGTATTGTACAACCTTCTGGTCATTTTCATTTTATGAGTCAATAAAGCTAAATTTTCCTGTTTCCAGTTAGGAAGGGAATACAATTATTGCTTCCAAAGTGAAAATGCAGTTGTTCAATTATGTTTTGAAGATATATTTCTATGCAGAGGGAGGCCTGGAATTTTGAGGTTGCCCAATTTTTTTATTGTTTATATTGCTGTGTGTATTTTCACTGGAAGAACAGAACAAATAATTTTGTTGAACTGATTGTTTTTAGGGCTCTTTGGAACATGAGGAAGGGAAAATCCTACGCATCCAGCTAGAACTGAATCAGGTGAAGTCTGAAATTGATAGGAAGGTTGCAGAGAAGGATGAGGAAATTGAGCAACTGAAGAGGAATCACCAGAGAATGATGGAAACCATGCAGAGCACACTGGATGCTGAGATCAGGAGCAGGAATGATGCCCTGCGGCTTAAGAAAAAAATGGAAGGCGATCTCAATGAAATGGAAATCCAGCTGAGCCATGCCAACCGCCAAGGTGCAGAGACACAGAAACACATGAGGAACATCCAAGGGCAATTGAAGGTCAAATTGAAGTTACATCTTCTTTGTGTCTTACAGTGGTTTGTCTGGATTCATTTCACGATTGAGCAGGGAAGAGATTCCTCCAGTTCTTAGGGCAAATTCAGTTTCTGATAAGTTATTTTTGGCTGCATGCCAGTAATGGGTAGGGCCAATGGCAAAAGAGTAGGACCTAAGCTACCAAGAGGATTGCAGTGCTTCTCGTTATCACTAGCATCTAACCCTTAGGAGGGTCCCCCCCCCAACCTTTTAGAATAGGAAGAACCCCATGCAAAATCTGGGAATCCACTGAGGGGCCATAGTTACCTTCAGAGCTTCAGAGGACTCATCCAAGTCCCAGGAAATGCCCGTTTCTTCTCTAGGACTGCAGTAGAAATGATGATGTGTGTTGAAAGTTTCTGTCTTGGGAGAAAGATTTTAAAATGAGAAAATCAAATACAGTCCTCACACTGAGCTGACTCACTCTGCCAAGACAAAATATCTTTGACCTAGAAGCAGTAAAGCAGCTCCCCTGTTGTTGAACCAGCCACTATGTATATGCTTTTGAATTTTATGAAACCCTTTCTTGCGTAATATGTATTCAAACTAAACATGAAAAAAGTCTCCTGATTTGTTTGAGAATTTGACTCTCAAGTTGCCATTTCTAAACCAAGTACTTAGGTGTTATATAAAAAATCTATTAGCCACAGTGATGTTAGCATTGTAATGCTTCAACCTTTTTTTTAAAGCGATAGGAAGTTTTAAGCAAGAATCATGGATATAGGGTTATGAAACAACTGGCTCCTCTTATTTTTATCCAATGTTTATCTATACCATACCCATCCAACTTCTCTAATTTTCAAAAGTAGAAAATGTGGTTTTTAATTTTCTCTGACCAAGAACGACATCCCTGATATTCTGAAAGAGTATTTTTTTTTGTGTATCGTAGGACTCCCAGATTCACCTGGATGATGCTCTGAGAGCCAATGATGACTTGAAGGAGCAACTGGCAATGGTAGAGCGTAGGAACAATCTAATGACAACTGAGCTTGAGGAGATGCGAGCAGCTCTGGAGCAGACTGAGCGCGCTCGCAAAGTATCCGAACAAGAGTTGGCCGATGCCAGTGAGCGTGTGCAACTTCTGCATTCCCAGGTATAGACTCACAAAGGCCATGGAGTCTCACGTGTGTAGAAGGCCAAATAGTTCATTCCGATTATTACGAACTAAATAATCTCTTATTCTCCCCCCCTCCTTTGTCCACCTTACTCCTAGATTCTCTTCACTGAATTATCCAAAGGGAAATCTAACAAAGCACTCATGCCTCCCTGCCCAATATTCTTGGTTTTGTAGCATTAATATAGGCTGGTGTTTCCATGGATAACAAAAGCTGCTGCAGCAAAATAAAGAGATATCTGAGCTGTCCTTTGTGCCCACAGAACACAAGTCTTCTCAACACAAAGAAGAAGTTGGAGGCGGACCTTACTCAATTCCAGGGAGAGATTGAGGATGCTATCCAAGAATCACGGAATGCTGAAGAGAAAGCCAAAAAGGCAATTACAGATGTAAGTACCCTGGCTTGTGGGCAGCCACCTGGAAGTGTTTTGTATTAACACGTCAATACTTAAGTGTTATCCATCTGGCTGTTGATTTTTCCACATTTGTTCCTCCAGTTTGGTCTCTACTCTAACAAAACGATAGTTTCTTCCACTCAAAGAGGAAAGGAAAAGTCCCTTTCAGCAATGCTGCTGCTGCTTATCTATTTTCCTTATTTCTCGCCAGGCTGAAACTGGTTCTTCCAGACAAACCTCCTTCTCCTAGGATGTATAAGTAAAGCAGGAAGGAACTTACCCTCAAAGCTGTATTTGGCAATACCACTTTGAAGAAAATCTTGTACAAAGGCCTCCTGTGTCCCTAATCTCCATGGACCTTTGGTCATTTGTGATTATACCCTGTGGTTAAGAATGCCTCCAACCACACTTTACTAGTGGATTGTTGGTTTCTTCTCATGTTGTGTAAGAAATGCAGTCTTGGCCTAGCTATAAGTCTCGAGGGAATTGTCTACTTCAGCCTTTGAACAAAGGTCTTGCTATTTTCAGGAGATTCATTTGATTTGATGGTTGTTGTGGGTTTTTTGGGCTCTTTGGCCGTGTTCTGAATGTTATCCTTGTTGGCCTACAACTCCTGTGAGCCCCTACCATTGTGGCCAGGGTAGGCAGGCTAGCCCTACATTAGGTCCAATGAGGCAGTAACCTTGTATGGTATCCTTCTGAATGTGACAGATCTGACATTCTGCCTCTACACCACCATAAGAGGGGCCATGGTGACCTTTCCATCTGTTGTGTCTTTTGTTGCAGTCAATAAACAATAGTCATACTCAGCCAACAAACCAAGCACTTTTTACCCTTGCACAACAGGAAGGAACTGTGTGCTCCAGCACATGAGGCATCATAATCTCTGCACCTGTCTGTCATAGGGTAAAGCAGCAGAAGGAGATGGCATGTTGAAAACCAAAGGCAAGCCTACTGGCATAGTTGCCAGAGGAGGGAAGGAAGAGTAGGGCATGACAGCCACTACATGCGCCCAGAAACTGGCTGTTTCAGTCATCCAGGGGATAAAAATGTTAGAACTAACCAGGTTTGGGGACCATGTGATGGGCAGTAAGCAACAGCTGCCGCTGTCCCAAGAACTGCCTGGAGAGTTGCTTACAGCTACCATGTGGGTTTTTGTCTAATTAGGCAGCCATGATGGCAGAGGAGCTGAAGAAAGAGCAAGACACCAGTGCCCACCTGGAGAGGATGAAGAAGAACCTGGAGCAGACCGTGAAAGACCTGCAGCACCGTCTGGATGAGGCAGAGCAGCTGGCACTAAGAGGTGGCAAGAAGCAACTGCAGAAATTGGAAGCCAGGGTAGGCATGCCAACTCGGTGGGGGGGAGGAGCATTCAACTAACTATATTGCCTAAAACTCTGGAGAAAGGCGCGGATTTTGACATCTTACTAATATTAAATGACATATTTTCAAAAATGGGCCTCCACAACTGATTTGTTTTTCCCAGCCACAGGGCACTATAATAATTTTCCAGAGATACATTGGTTATAGTTTGATCTCTTTATTAGAACAATCTGTTTAGGTGCATGAGTTGGAAAATGAACTTGATGCTGAACAGAAACGAGGAGTTGAGGCTATCAAAGGAGTGAGAAAATATGAGCGGAGGCTGAAAGAAATAACTTACCAGGTAATACTATCTTCTCATATTTATTTCTTCTTGCATTTATTTCTGGGATTTATTTTCCTACCATGACTTATAATCCTGTTGGAGGTTGGAAGGCAGAAGACCTTCAACAAAAGGGGGATGCTTAGTTTTTCTGCCTTTGGCTCTCTGGAGGATAATCACCCTCCCAAGTCACAACTGTTAGATCCTTGCAGTGTGGGTAGTGTGTGCATTTCCTTTACATTCCATGTAGGCTGAAGAAGATAAGAAAAATGTTTTCAGACTCCAAGACCTGGTGGACAAGCTGCAGCTGAAAGTGAAAGCGTATAAGAGACAAGCCGAGGAGGCTGTAAGTGCCCAGATCTCAAATATTCCCTGTCAGGCTTAAACTTTGATTGTCTAAATGAGCAGAGAACAGTAAAGAATTCCCAGAACTTTGAATTATTTGTATGCTGTCACCTTTGTGAGCAGTACCAATATAAACTGTGAGATATTTTCACCCCTAGTCCCACACTCTTGCAGTTAGAAAGAAGACTGCCAGAAAACCTGGAAAGATCAGAATTGACTTGATGGCATGTAATTAATATTATTTTAAGAATAACTCATCAAAGCAGATGACGGGTGGTAGAAGGATGAAGCTCATGGCTGGGGCTTCCTGACACAGCAGAAGTCTGATATGTTGTAGGTCTGCATAGACTCTTTGCCAACCATGCAAAGGCAAAGGAAGTTTCTTCCACAGCCAAAGGTATCCTTCGAGGAGCTTGGCAGTTCAATCCTCATATCTAAAAAAGTATGGCTGGTCAACCCATATGTTTGTGTCATGGCAGGAAGAGCAGGCCAACGCAAACTTGTCCAGGTGCCGGAAAGCTCAGCATGAGTTGGAGGAAGCTGAAGAGCGAGCCGACATTGCTGAATCCCAAGTCAACAAGTTGAGGGCCAAAAGCCGTGACATCGGGGGAAAGGTAATGGGCTTGCTGGAGTGCTGGGGAAAACATGCTGCAGATCCAGGATATCTTTTCAGCTGTCTTTTGTTGATATTTCTCTATTGGCATGCTCACGTTCCTGCCTAGCTCCTCCAAAGCACAGCCTTCCCCTTACCATTTAACATCTGCTACTTCTTAGTTGAGAAGGGAGGATGAGGAGAGGCATTTGTGATGCAAGTGTAGTCTCTGTGTTATAAATTATGACTTCAAGACTGCAGTCCTATACACAGCTTACCTAGGACAAACAGTGCATTTGGTGGGCCTTTCTTCTAGGACAGGGATAAACGAACTTCAGTGGGGCTGACAGCCATTTTTCACATTTCACATCAGCCTGAAATGGGTTGAGCTAAAAGAGTAATTTATATGTTAAATTATGTGGGAGCAATTGTTATTCCTTGTAAAGGTTGCAGTGGTGCTTTGATAAACGAAAATGGGTGAGGTTTTTTAAAAGTTTTTTTTTTCAAACTGAGAGGGCCCTCTTTTTAGTGGCCAAACATTTTTTTCAAAAAATAAAAATAAAAAATAATTTGGGGAGGGTTGTGTGGAGCCCCTGTCGTGCTCAGGGACACCGATGTATGGGGAAATTGTCCCACAGAAGGCATATTGGTGTTTCCTGAACATTTTCTTGTGTTGGACACAAACACCGGATGCTCAGTTTTAGATAAACCAGAACTGGGATTTATTGGCACATTATACAAAGAATTATAAACGTTGAACTTGTCAGTAGTTTTGTCTCTCGCTGCCAACAGGTAAAACGAGGGTGTCCATAAATCTTGTAAGAACGGGTTATAACCTGATTCATACCAAGGACCCTTAATGAAAGGATTAGTCTCTACATGGTCCCGGCTGTCAACATCCACTTCTGTCCTCATCATGTCCCTCTGGATCAAAGGGGTCGATTCCCTCTGCATAGGGGTCCCGTGGTCCAGTAAATACCTCCTCCGGCGAGCCTCCTCCAGATGCCATGCTTGCCTTTGTCGTTCTTCCCTTTCCACTGCCTCTTTTTCCTCTCTCAATCGTCTCCCACACTCCGGCGAGAGCTTCAATCGCCTCGCCTCGGGTCTCACATTTCTCCTTACATTTTTTGGAGAATGAGATCATCTTCGAACCCAAGTTGTCAGTTATTCTAGGATCACAGCATATGACACTGTTGTACACCACTAACCTATCTGACACAGCATAATGTACTTTAGCTGTCAGTGCTTTTCCAGTTTCCTGACTTGCATTTTTGACATCCTAATGAGGACCTTTCACATTCCTTGTAAATATGTTAACATGCCCGCTATTATTACCTGCTTTCCTACTACATATTTTATCCCATGAGCAAGGACCTCAGTATCGAAGTGCAAGATCTGGAAAGCTCTATAACCCCCCTTTACCCTGTAACTTGATGACAGATTTAGGTGAAATATTATCAAATCCAATAAGAACTTATCCTCCAATATGTTTGAAATGGAGAGTGATAGGATTTGTACACCTGCAATAAACAGCTGGAAAGCCTTAACAAATCTCAGGGGAGTTGAAGTATGGATAGATTTTGTAAATCTAATGACAATAATTATGGTGTCTGCAATGGGGAAGGGAGGAAGTCACCTCCCCTAAAGAGCCACAGTCCTTGATTTCTCATGTTCTTTTTCTTTCCTTTCCTTTTTTTAAAAAAGACTGTAGCCCTCCTGGAATTTGAGATACAAGGCAAAATGTGCGGGCACTGTTCTGCCTAAGTGGTTTACATGAAATGGCTATGCTTTCTCTCTCCTTTTGACCTTTTATTCAATAAAGGAAGCCATAGACAATTATTAATATACGCTTTATACAGAGAAGGAACTTTCTGGGTTCATTTTTATTCTGCTTCTTTGGACTTCCTTGAAGAAAGAGCCATTCTTGCCCTCCCAAAAATAATTCATTAGTGCCTGTGTGTGGTGTAACTGTGATAGGTGTGTCTACCTGTGTACTCTCCCTGCAAAATATAGCAGAAAAGACACAATTTAGGGTGCAGTCAGACTGTGGGAAAGGTGCGCGTCTGATTGCACCAGAAAGTGTCACTTTTGAGTTCTCTTTAAGCAACCCTTCTTCCTTTTTGGGGAATTGCTTGAACCTGACCCAAATAAGTAGTAGCCCTACTGCTGAGCCAAAAAAGGTCCGGCTTGGGCACGGATCCAGGTGTAAGTAGTAGCCCTACTGCTGAGCCAAAAAGGTCTGGCTTGGGCATGGATCCAGGTCAGGCTGGAGCACTAATCTCTATATGTCATTTGACTGTGGGAAAGAACACACCAATCTGCCACAAGTGGTCCAAAAAGCAAGTTTTATGCCTATGTGATCACACCGTTAGTTATACTGCAAAATTAGTACTTTTCATATTGAAAGCTATAGCTCCCCTCCCCCAATTTGCAAAGAGAGTGTGGATTACACCAGCCATGCAAAGTAGTTGGCTGTCATGCTCATTTTTTCTTAGGGCTGATAAAAGTTACCAGTTCACTCTCATGATACTTTGAAGGAGAAGAGAGGTTGGGAAGAAATACATGTATTGGGAAGTGAGAGTTGTGCTGTGAAGTTAACTGCAACAGTAGGACAATTAAGAGCTGGAGGAGCTTATCAAGTAAATCAGCTCTTTTACTCGATAAGGGACATCCACTGAGAAATACAGTAGAGGGAGGGCTAGAACTATGGCGCATAAATTTCTCAGAGGTTACTTAACAAAAATGTCTGCAAAAGGCCCTTTACAATAATTGAAATCATGCTCTCTGGTGCCCTTATTAGCATAGGCTTCATAACATTACCTGGTTACTGTGTACAGTGTCACAGACTTCTTTTCATCTCAGAGTTGATCAGGAATCGTGTTTATACTGGCATCTCACAGCCCTGGCATATGCCTGAAAAGGATCTTTGTTCCATTCTTTGCTGTTTTTATTTTTTTTTTAACTTTTGCTTCCCCTCTATGTTCTGCCTCTGTGATGTGAAGATCAAGTCAAGGCAGTGTTGGCAGAAGTCTCAAATTTTGTGTGTGTCAGGGTGGGGAATTCTCTCAAACCAAAAAAAGAGAGGGTGGGGTGGGGGTGGGGGAAGGTAATCAAGCAGAAGAGTTCCTATTTTTCTTCCCCATTGTTATACTCCTATTATACTCTTACCTCCTACATTTGTCACATTCTAACCATTCTATTGCCTCACCATCTTCAACAATTTTTTTTCTTTTTTATACAGAAATCTGAAGAATGAGGTCAGCCTGGCAACACTGATTCCACACAATGTGGAGTTCTTCATCTTGGTTGATGTAGATATAAATTATCTGACCTGAATAAAAATACATTTGGGCAGCAAAGTTCAGTTCTCACTATTTGATGTTATATAAGAATTAGGAAAAAAACTGGTGAAAAATGGTGGCAAACCCCATAGGAATGTGGAGATCAAACACAAGAATGGAATTCTAACTGAAGAAGAGCCCCCAGTATTTGTGTATGAGTCTCTATATTTTTTTAAATCACGGGCCAGATACCTACATAAGCAAAAAAATAACTTTCGGGCTGAAATCCAGTAGCGTAAACCTATACCACATAAGGCTTAAGACATCAATAGCTGTGGCCGTGTTTTCCCAGGAAGTAGAAGTTTCTGAGTCCCCATTCGCCCGCCCCCAATTCGTGATCTCCCTTGGCATCCTTTTCATTCTAGGGAAGGCACTGGCAGCAAAGCAGTGGAGGGATCATTTAATTTCCAAAAATAACCATCACTGGTAAAATCATCCCACCAGTATTAATTTTCAGAAATTAAAGACACCCCTCCACACACACACACATACACATACACCATTCCACAGAGTCCCAACTGCTTCCCCAGGGACAAAAGGGATCCCAAGCAAGCCTTCAGGGACCCTCAGGGTGCGGGTGGGGATCAGAAAGTTCAATCCTGAAAAGCAGCCACAACTGTTGGAATTCTCAAAAGCATGTTAAAAGGATAGTTGTCTCAGAGGGTTATCACTGGAATATAAACAGTGTCCTCCTCTGCACATCCAGTTTTGGATGAACAAACAGCAAAGGAGATCACATTGCTAGTGAGAAGACATTATTACAGCAACAAACACATGACCAGTGTCTTATTTGTTTCACTGTTTTTGTTTTGTTTAATTTTATCAACTGTTAATTGCCCAGAAGAGTGCATTGCACTTTATAAACTAATGAAACAAACAAACAAACAAAATAGTAAGGCCCTAGAAGTCAGTGTGAATAATAATGGGCCATCCTGAGCACTCCCTTTAACATCATTTGATAGGCTGGTTTAGGCTTGGAACACTGTCAATCTCTATTCAAACAGTTTTTCACAATTCAAGCTGACAATTAAGAAATGTAGCTACTTTGGGGTTAATTAATAGTAGTATACATTTGCGAATACCTATTTTATTTTTCTGTTTGTTTTTTTCTTATTTCATTTATGTTCTGCACTTTCAATTAAAAGTATCCCTAGGGTGGCAATTGCAGGCATATTGAACTAGATTTAACAACTTGAGCAATAGAACAGAACAACATCATCAATGATCAATACTGGAATAAGAACAACATTGGCAAGCTGGTTTTAAAAAATCAATCAACATTTTGAAACGCCTTGAAAAAAGTTTGTGGACATTCTTAGCTGAAATCTGCCACTGATCAGCCACCATGGGTCCTAAGAGACAACTTTTGCTGGGTTCTAAGGGCCAAGCCACATGTGCATATTTTTTTTCATAACTTGGGCAGAAGGGTATGTTAAAGACTACACACATTAACATTTTACTGCATGATGCATTGGAATGCATGTCAAATCCCTGTGACTTTGGTGAAACTGACCTTCATATATTGTAGTCTATTTAGGTGCTTCAATTTGTCTACACATTTAAATACAGTTCTGTCACATTTGGAGGCTCTAATCATTGTTCAGACCTCTGGATTTTTGTAGCTGCTAGAAAACGAAAGCAGTAAATCAAACATAGCAATGCAGGATTTATATGTCTAAAGCCATTTGTTATGACTTGGAGTGAAGAATATTCCTTGTTGTGCTTTTGTAAACAAGAAACACATGCTGGTGAGGAGAATGGCCCCAAACTCCAGAAATTCAGAAAACATGATTTGGAGCCTTGCACTAGAATTGCTTACATCTTGTATAGTTACACATCATGCGTATGAACCGGCAAGAGCAAACCCTGGCATTCCCCAGACACCATGTGCTGAAAAGCCCTTCTCATAATTAGACTAATAGGTTTATGATGATTATGTGTGCTAGTTTTAGGAGTCAACTTCCTTTAGATACATTCAGGGACACAACCTCTGAGCATGCAGGAGTGAGAAGAGCTAATCCCTGAATGAAAGCCGCCCAAATCCCGAGGAGGAAGTGGTATTTAAATGGCTCGTAAAAGCTCCCAGAGCTATTTTGGATGAGGAGTGAGATGCTTCTCTGCGGCTTGCTGTGCCTTGAACAAGAGTCAGGAATGACAATGCGCTTTCGCTGTGTAAAAATGTCTCCCATATGCAGAGCACCAGATGATGAAATACATAGACATTTAGTTCCAGCATCATACTTGGCAATCTTTCTTCATGATACATTTGCACTTTGAATCTAGGAAGAGCCCACAAGAGAGCAACCCAGCATTTACATAAGTGCTAAGCCAAAGGGGATCAGCTACATATCACAGCAAACAGGTATAAAGATCCCATTGATCTGGAGGGGTGCGGATGGGGGTGGGTGGGACTATGAACGTCTGGATTGCTTGTGTACTGCCATGCATCTCACATACTACATGGACCCTTGATGTGGAACATAAGGATTTGGAAGCCGCCTTGAGTCCCAATTCTGAGAGGAAAGTAGTCTCTGAATATAATAACAAATAATAAATATATGGTCACACTGATATTCTAAAAGCCAAACTCACTTGCTTTTTGCTTTATTTTTGCCCATTGAATTGATATTTCATAGGACTGAAGTACTGTATTACCAAACTCTGCCAACAATGTAGCATCTTCTAAATATTTTCAGAGTAATATAGTTTGCATATGTGCAACACAAGAATTAGTACCAAAAAATTCCCCAAGGTGAAGGCTCTTTTTGGGGGAGCAGAGCTTCCTACATCCTGAGTGCCAGGATGGTATAGTGGATAGAATGTCTGACGATCACTAAGGAGAACCTGAGTTCAAATCTCTGCTCAGCTATGGAAACTCACTGAGAGGTGGCAATGGTAAAACCACTCCTTAAATATCTCATACACTTTGGAAATTCTATTAAGGTTGCTATGAGGTGGACACGACTTAACAACATTTAACAAACCGAGCTTCCTAGGTTCATCATGGTGTACAGTTTTGACCAGTTAGGAAAGGTGAAAGGAGGTGTAGGAAGAGGCAAGTAAAAAAAAAAAGTCTAATCCCTGTCACCAGAGCACAGAATGCTGTCCTCTGAAGATGCCGGCCACAACCTTCAAAACAGGGCCTAAGAGCCTGAAAAAAACACAGCAACAAAAAAAAGAGTCTCAAGCTTTTGCTGATGGGCACAAGACTGATGGTGAGTTCGCAGCCTATGGAGAAAAGCCGAAATAAATCCTATTAGAGTTCAAAGGGATATAGGTGTCTTTGCGCAGCGGGCAAAGTGGGGCCATTAAGCCTAAGGGTGAAATCCCATTGGTTCAGGTGAAGAAAGTTCAGTCCTTAAGATGTTGACAAAATACCACTCCCATCGCACCTCATTACTGGCCAAACAGCTAGGACTGGTGGGAACAGGAGCTTAACATCTGGAGAGCCACACGTTCCCTAACCCTGCATGGAAGAAAGCTTTCACCTTACACCAGAAAATGTATTTGTTAGGAAATCCTGCTTTTGATATTGGTCTACTGTTCTTCTCCATAGTCATCTAATTGAGAACCAGCCATTTGTTAAGGCTTGCCAAAATCGCCCCCATTTGTAAAACGGCTAAAAACAGCTTTAAATTGAAAAGAAAGCAGGTGCGTTACAATAACTATTGAAACAAAGCATATTTCATTCATTTATATTGATATAGATATTTAGTAAAATACTGTATGGTCATGAATAGAGAAAGAGTTAAGGAAGATACATTTAGCTGGCATGGCTACCCTCCAAATATATTTGTGAATGGAGCATCTTATGTGACATGTCCTCTAGTTCTTTATATAAATATATTTCTGAGGAGTAGTTGTGTGGGACCTGTGGCAGTTAAAAAAGACTTTGAAGTGAGTTTCATTTGTGGCATAGGCATATTGGGAGTATGTTCTCAGGCGTTCTTTTCTTAGTAACAACAGTTAATGTTTGGAACAAACCAAATCCTATATGGTTGGTCAATTTGAAATCTGAGCAGGGAGGGTGCAGGATGTCTTGTTTGCTTCAGATCACAGGCTTCTGATCCTCACTGCACAAAACCAAGACACATGCCCTCGCTGAGCACTGGAAGTGTCAGTTTGTTTATCTTACTGCATTTCCCCTGTGCTACTGGCACACAAAAAGGCTCTCCATACATCCAGTCCCTTTTGTCAGCAAGAGAAAATCCTTGCCCTCAGGCCTGTAATTCAAAAAGGCATGAAATAAAAGGAGAAAAAAGAATGGGGAGAAAAGAGGCAAAGTATTAGCTGTTGGGTAAAAAGAGAGGCGCCTTTGACAATAAGCAGCTGAATCATCTCAATTCCCTTCCAGGAGCTGAAGGTGACTTTGAGAGCCCTTGCAGACAGACCTTAGTGATGTGTTCAGGTACTAGATCAATGTAAGTAAAAGTAGATCCGCTGGGTAGGATTCCCTTGTTTTTCCTTCCACCCGCCATCCCCAACCTGTCTTTCCAGATCCATGTACTCCTCTGCACATTTCTAAGGATTAATGTTGTCAGGGGAATGTTAATTCTGAATTCCTGGAGGTTTAAGAGATTAGGGCCTCATCTTTACCACTTTACAGACATGGCATTTTATTTTTAATTGTGAGAGACTTTTGCACATGAGTCATACTGAGAGAATAGTTGCTTTATAAGCAGATGGCTGTAGAACAGAGACACAATTGAAGGAGAATTACTGAGCCGGCTATGTCAAGTAGACAACAGGCACATATCTATACAGCTCAGCCACAGAGAGCTGACCATCAGGAATCCCCCCCCCACATGAAAGCTGGGTACCCCAAATTAGCTAGATGTTCTATGCAGGTCTCTGTTTTATCCCACATATGAGATTGTACTGTCGCATTATAGGGATATCATTTTCAAAAAATCATCTGAGATCATAGTTATCCACTTTATCTCAGATATTAGATTAGGTAACAGGATGATCTCAGCAGAGCTCAGGGCCATTTTTAGATGCTAATTTGA